AGGGAAGGCAGGCGGGTCGGCTTACACGTGGGCACTTTTTCCCTCAGTTTCGAGCTTCTCCGTGCAGTCAGATATTGATCTTTGGTGCTACGGCCTCTGTGTAGAACAATGTGGCTTTTAGGCAGGTGAATTTGTGCTCCTGACAAATTATGGCACCGCATATGAAACCAGATCCAGCTACATGTGCTGAAATTATTGACTCCGCGGCTCCGAACAGCATATTTGGTCTCTGTAACTGCCTTTTATTAGTTTGGCTATTATGTGCCATCTGGGCAAATTACCTTCTAACAGTGAGTAATTACGCCAAATTGAGCAAATCTCGGAGTGAGACTTCTGCTATATTTAAAACGAGGGAAGTTGCCTTCAGACTCCTCCAAAAAGAAGGGCCTTTTGTTGAGAGCCAGAGGCTGAACAGACAGAGAGGAGAAAGGCTGAAAGGGGGAAACAAACACTGAAATCAGTTAAGCAAACATCATCAAAAGACTCGGGCACTTTAGCAAAATACATGATGAGTTTGTATATACACCCCCCCACACACACACACACAGAGACACACGCACACACACTGTGTTATACATCAGCTGGCACGCTAACCTGAGAGCCCATGAACACTCACCCCACACAGAAAAACACACCCACTTCTGTGCACCATTGCTGTACCTCCCTCATTCTGCCCTGCCATCACCCCCAATCCTAACACCCCCCCCACCCCCCCTCCCTCCTGCCTATTTCGAGGTATGGTGGTTAGTTGGGCGTGTTCGCTGCCCAGATTTGAAATCACTGAGCCATTCTCTTGACTAAATTCCTCTTTTTTTTCATGTTTTTTTTTTTTTTTCGCCTGGCTCAGCTCGGCGCACCTTCTGCAGCTTCTCCACTGACCTGAGTGTGTGTTTAATACACTCTTTGACCCCCCCCAGTTAGCGCCGAGCGCATCGGTCCGCTCCCCTTTCTCCGTTTCCTCCCAGGCCAGCCCCGGCTCTGATCTATTTCGGTGTGTTGTGGCTAGCAGGGTGTGTGTGCGTTTGTGGCCCTGCCCTGTAAAATACAGACTTTTCGAGGAAGTCAGCAGTATAATATGGCCGCTTTATTGTAATTACAAGGTTCCCCTTTTGGAAATAGCACACAGAGAGGGCTGCCCACAGGCGCTCGCTGGGTCCATCTCGCTGAGCCGATGCCATCTCCTGCAGACACTCTCAGATGGATCGCTAACCTTCAAGCCCTGCTTGCTCTGAGCACAGATGTTGCCACATCAGGCAGCCAAGTCAGCTGTATATTAGTCACCCCTTTGATATCCCAGCCAGCAAAGCACCCGGCTTGTCTGACTGGATGGTGTGTGAACGTGCTCTGATGGGTGGTCACATCTGATGGAAACCCTGTGGCTCTCTGGGTTATTCAAGCCCTTAAATATCAGCCCGGCTAATTGAAAGCTTTTATTAATCCAGATTTAGCCGACACCGACGTTTAAATCCATAATTGAGCGTTTCATCCCGACATGAATCTCCTGGGTGAGACAAACGGAGTCACCTGCTGTAGATGTTGGGATACCTCAGGGCATCAGCTCCTGGAAAATGAGGTTTCCACATGAAGTCATGCAGCTGTGGGCTCACTGTGTGGAATCCGTGGTAGCTCCATAACGTGGAGAGTCAGCACATTATGTGGATTATACTGATGTGAATGGAAGGCTGTTTGATGCTGCATTTACTAAAGGGTGTGGACGCACCGGAGGAAATAGTGAAACTGCTTTAAACAAAGTTTTTAAAGCCAAATTCTCCACTTTGCTCAGTGTGACTGTGAGATCATAATGAGATTGAATTCCTCCTTCCCACTGTGACGTAGATACTAACTAAATGGTTGTAATGTAGGTGTTCTGAGGAAATGCCTGTTTTTATTTGTCTGTATTGCTGTACAGAATGACTTTGTCTTAACCATGAAGTTAAACTCTGAAACAGGACGGCTTTTCATCTTTTTTCCTGTGAAGTTTAAGGAAGCTTTCAAAGGGTGTTATTTTATCAATTTAGTCTTAAAGGGGTGGTTTGCTATGTGAAGCCTAATTTGTTCTTCTTTTAAACCCAAACGGTGTCATTTTTCCCTCTTCCTTTTTTCTGCAGACAAAAATAGTTTGTATCCAAATATCAGGAAACCTGAAGTTATGATAGAAAGTATTTTTGCTTTTGCCTTAAAAAAAAAGGGCTTATTTAATAAGTTTTGCATCATTTTGAGCTTCACCTTCACACTATCATTAAATTTGCTGCACAAGCAGACAGGAATCTTCTCACTGTTTGAGCCGACTTATTTAAGGATTTAACTCCCATTCTCACTTTGTCTTTGTGCTTTCCTCCTCCAAACTTATCAGATAGCACAAGGTGCACAGACGGATATCATCAGGATACTTTTGGGTGACATTTCCTCCCAAACAACACAGTTTCAGTCCTTCCCATGTTTAAACCACGGGCACAACAAAAGCTCCTGATTTGAGTTCTTGGGTCAAAGTGAATAAAAAACACTACATGCAAAGTCCAGAGCAAACCTAAACCACAGATGTCTCTTGGGGTGTCTCTTTTTACAGCCTGTGGCATTAACTTTCAGAGCCCAAAGAGGCCAGAACCAAACAGGCTGTGCTCAAAAAGAAACACTCTGTCCACTGTGTCCAGAAAGCCAAAAAAAAAAAAAAAAACAGAGCCGCCGCACTGAGGAAGCATTTCCTGTATATTTTGATTTTGTAGAAATACTCTTGCAGAGAAAATAACATCTCAGAAACAAGACCATACATACAAATATTTCGCAGGAAATGAGTTCATTGGAGCATTCATGCAGGGTTTTTTTCATTTAAAGCACCAAACAGTTTAAAACTAAACTTTATTTCTTGTTTTCTTTATTTTTACTTAGACTAAACATCTTGCAACGCCTTAAAATGTGAAATTCCACATTTCCCTTTGGTTCCATGCAGTAATGGATAGGTATAAAAACTGACCGGACATTATCTTTTTTTTTATGATTGCTGATGGATGCGGCGGCCTGGACGCCGGTTCTGTCTTCTGATCACACGGCGGCCGCTCCTTCTCATTCCACATACATCAAAGCTCACCAGTGTTGTTTCTGAGGAGCAGGCGGCACATTTCCGGCTGCTGGCAGTCTCGTAAGCAAACTCAAAGATGGAACATCGCTGCTACACGAACTGCATATTTTTTTGGGAGGCAGGAAAATAGACGGTGGGGTCAATACGTGGTATAAAAGCAGCTACGGGAAAGAGGCCACGCTGGCAGAAACTGTCAGACGCATGATGCAACATTTGAACAAACAATAAAGGTTTTATTTATTGTGTTTGTACAAATGTTGTGACCTTACTGATGCAAGCATTTGCACTTTATTGGGTTTGCACATCGCAGTTTGCCTATTCCTCCGGCAACAGAGAGCTACATGGGATTTAACGAGCTTTGGGTGGTCATTTAAATGCTAAAATGAAGTAGGGGGACTATCTAATGTGTAGGTTGTGCAATAAGTGTAAGTACGTGAGGAATTGTAAAGGTATTCCGGTCTTTTTGTGTCCAGGGTGTACAGGGTGGCAGGAAATGGCCACCCAAGTGGCAGTTGGTGCGGGTTGGTGGGGGGGGGGGGGGGGGTTCTGTTATAGTAATGTGCTGAGGCTGAGTTTGTTAAGATTGACGTGTGTGCAGCAATGAGTTTCTGTATGTGAGCACATGTGTCATCAGTGGGTTGGATGCTGGTTGACAAAAAAGGAGCCCGTCTGTGTTGCTCTACCATCCTTTCCGAGTATTCTTTCTGCTGTGTCCGGCCGAGCTCATGGTGCTGTAGCACGAAACACACATGTTGCTACAGTCGCTCAGTGGGGACAAAAGCTGCCTCCAGACTGGGCTTTTTCTTCTTTTTCTGTGGTCCCACCAACAAACACAACCAGCATCTGTCTGTACATCTGCATCCATCTGATCCGTCTCTGTTTTTTCCCCACCAACATACTTTGACTGCCCTCAATTTCACAATATTTAATTATAGAACGAAAGCTCTGTCTTGTTTGGCTAAAAATGTGACTTTTTTACGACACTCAAGCAATTATACAGTTTAAATTAAACATGTTGATGTAAAATCCTTGTTTGATGTACTATTTCGATGATTTTTGGTTGGGTCTAGCTTGCCGCTGACTTTTAAATTTTCAAAAACTTTCACATTTTTAATGCATCAAAGAAGGAAGAGGTGCTTTATTTGACCCACCATCGCCAGTAACAGAAAGGTCTGACTCACATAACAGAACATTCTTCTATTTTAGCACTGATTTCATTCTCTATTTTACGATTTAATTGAATTTTTGCAATTGGAATCAATGTGATAATTTTATATCCTTTTATTCAAGTTTGATACTTAATAAAACAGACTTTCGGCTCACTTAAGGGCTGTTTTTAGATCTTACAAACTTTAGAGACATTGATGAGACATTGACCTTTTCTCTCCAAAATTGTCTCTTTTTCTATTGCTGCTGGGCTTTTTAGGAGCAGTGAGGGGAGTTCTCCTGGAAAATAACATAAACTGCAAACACACCCCTCAGAAAATCACACAAATAGGGGGAGAAATTAAAGGTAGTGAGAAAGAGTGAGTGGTATAGAGCATCAAGGGATAATTGTGGATAATTACTGCTCTCCGTGTGTGAAGTCTGCATTCAAAGAACGTGGGCAGCAGAAATATTTCAAAGACAGACTGGAGGGCTTTGAAATTGGAATAGAAGATTATTTTAAGTGTTTACGACAGGTATGAAGGAACTTTGAAATTATGAAGGGAACCTGTCTTCAGGCTACTTTAGTGCAGCGACACAGGAACAAGAAAGCCCCAGACTTCAGCTTTTCCTGATGTTTTTATGGGGGTTTGGTGTTCATTTCTGCCAGCACTGTGTTCCATGTACTTTGTTAAAGTGTTATGAAAGTTTTGAGTTCAGCATCTTCGGTAAATCACGCAGAAACAGAAAAAACAACAACATTGGAGTGGTTCGGTTAATATGCGACCAAACCGCCATCCAAATCAAACGTTCTGCTGCCAGTTTTCCTCCTCCGTTCCAGAACCCATAAAAACACATGAATTAGTGTTGAACTAGGTGACACACTCCCTAATTATCATCTGAACTCAAATGCAGGACTATCTCTGTCTTTATCCACAAACTGTTAGACTATAAAACACGTCTTATGTTCTTTTTAGAGATACTTCTGATACCTCCTTACATTTTCTTTTCTCTTTCTTCATTTTTAAAGACCATAGATTAATGAAGCTGTTTTAATTTTTATTTTATAAATAACATATCATGATAATTAACCACATTTCTTTCTTTTTTAATGCAGCACTGCTACAATGTGTTGTTTCAAGTAAATTCTCCGTAAAGAATGGCATTCTGCTTTCTGCTACCGTCTTAGTAGTTACTTTGTGTTTCAGTTTGTGATTTTTGGTTCTCACTGAGGCAAAAATGGCTCAAGGATAATTTGGGGTAAACGTCAGCAAATGTGCTGGTGCAGGGAAAGAATTGCCTATTTGACTTTAACGTTAATGGTGCTTATTTAGCAAAAAAAAAAAAAAAGGCTTTTGTGGTTCTTGGTAGATTCCTCGAGTCCATCTGTATTAAAATGCTATTCATCATGTAAAGTCTATATTTTATTGTCCATCCTAATTTTGTATGGACTTTAATTTTGTTGTGGGTGGGGATTTTGGGACTTTCTGTCCTCTCATTTGCCAGCAAAAAGACACCTGGACTGTTTTATGCAGTTTGCCAGAAGCCATGTAAGTTTAGACTTAATTTAACGTCATTGTTGCAAATATCTATCATTATTTTTACCATTTAAGGGTTCAAGTCTGTTTGACCTGGACTTTTCATCCATCCTCTCTTCCAACTTCAGCACCTGAGCAAATCAAGGTCACGTGGAACTGACCAATCAGAGCCAGAGGGAACCTGGAGACTTTGGCGAAAGGGGCGTGGTTAATGGCACGGACAGAAGTCTGATTGGTTGGCTGGAAGCTCACTCACTCCGCGGCTCAGCTCCGTGCGCTGTCCAGCTAGTCCACGAGCAGTTTACCTGTTAGGTTCCGCTCAGCTTATAAATGTGGCGGCAGCGTTTCTCAGAGGGGAGACAAAGGGAAAGCTCTCTGGCAGATTTTTGAGAGACCGAGAAAATGTTTTAGCTCTCGGCCGTGATTCCACTGACCAGCACCAAACCACCAACCTGCGGCTGAGAGAAAGACGCCATTGTTGTGCGTGTCAGCTGGAATATTTGTATCTGTCTGTCATTAACACTTCCAGTTCGCAATCGCAGACTCGCACACGTACATCTGCGTGCACGCGCCAGGCAGGCAGTTACGCACGCCCTCTCTCTGTCTCTTTCTCTCTCTCTTTCTTTCTCTCTCTCTCCCTCTCTCTCTGCTGCCCTTAATGCCAATCACTCTCTCTCACTCACGCACACACACGCTCTCACTCTCTGGCAGGGAGAGTAAAGAGGGGGAGAGAGAGAAGGGAGGGAGAGCGTGATTCCAGGTCTCTCTCTGCTGCTCTCTCCACTTTGGGTACTTGTACCCAATCTGACTCAATGGGGCTCTAGCACTAAGGGGTTAAACGTTTAAATAAAAGATATTTATTCACCCCATAGCCCTTTTAGTGTTTAGGTTTTATGCATTAACACGTACATAGGTAACTCATCAAGGAAAGAGAGAGGTGAAGACGTCTCCAGAGGCGTGCCTTTTCTGTCTGCTGCCCCACAGAAGGTTCAGTCGGGCTCTCCTCGTCGACTGGCTTTCTGTGAGAGGGATAACACCTCCATATCCTACATTTACAGCTCAACCGGGCCGGGAAACATCTGCAACACTATGGATATTGGAGAATGTCCTTTTCGGAAGAAACGGAGGCCATGGCGCATGGACTTCTCATCCTTCGCCTTGGTGACCGTGGCGCTCGCCTTGTGCCAAACGACCGTGGTTCGGGCAGGTAAGACGGTCATTCTTTTTGACTTTCAACTAGAGATGTTTGTGACATTTACCCATCCTTTCTGCTGTCCGCTGAAGTTAGCACAGTGCGTAACGAGTGTGCGCCTTAAACCCGGTCAGGCACAGGCGCATAAGATGTTTTGTGTCCAAACATATAACATTTTGTGTCCAAGTGTTTGCGGCAGTGAGATGAATTCGTGAAAGTGGTTGCTTGAAGACGCAAAAAGGTTTTGTGAGATTTGAGCCGTGCAATGGAGTTTTGGGAAAGCTAATTGCTTTCGCAAATTTTTAAAGTGAAATCAAACACACGAAAATCTAACTAAAGAAAGGGCTTTTTTTGTACGGAACATGATTCATTTGGCTGATAAAAAGCCAGAGTTTTATAGAGAAGATGGCTTTCATATTGTGAGCGAGTTAACTGCTTTATTCTGCCATAAAATGTAATGATAAATGTATCTTTTTCCTCATACGACTCCTCCGTGCTGCTGATAAAATCCCCCCCCCCCTCTCTGACAGTGCAGCCTGCTGCTGACAGGTGTCACCTCAACAAAAGTCCCAGTTAGACGCTGAAATCAGAACTTTTTTCTAAGCTTTCAGTCGTTTTCGGTGATTCACTACAAACTAACTGTTCTTCCTTATCGGGAATGCTTTCAGTTTTGATGGGCTGCCGCTCATTTTGCCCTCGTTTTTCTGCCCCCCCACCCCCACTCATCCAGAGGCTGCATCGGGTATTACGGTGCAAACACCTGCTCTGTCGTCTGGTGAACGCAATCCCGTTTATTCAGTTCGCGTTTGGACCTTTTTGTTTTCTGGGGCTCTGCGCACGTTTCCAGTCTGGACGGTGCGCGGCTGGCTGTGTCTTTACCAGCTCAGCCTGTGCACCAGGCCACCCATCGCTGCCTCCGGCTGCAGAGGGAGGAGGGATTTCTCAGGCATTTCATCAAACCCCTGTTAAGATGATCTGGCACATTCATTGGTTCAAAACTGCTAAATCTACGATAAAAACCGGCCATGTGAAGTTTTTTGTTTTAAAATTGTGGTAGGTTTTGAGAAAGACGAGAAAGTGCTGAGATTATCTGAGACTGTTCCCTGTAGGGTGTATTTTAGTCAGGATTCCCATCCTTTATCCCCTGTCTCGCTGTTATTCTATAGATTAGTTGCCACTGGAATGATCTGTATGCGGGGCAGTTCCATTACGCACCACTAGTCGTATTTGGGTTATTTCTGACACAGAGAAACCATTGATTCACCTGTCTCCACATGAGTTCACATCCAATTGGACGCATTTGATGGCCCGCCACAATTTTCATTCCTCCTGCAGATCATTTGGGATACTTTAGGATATGTATTGTCAAACACAAGCAGGAGGGAAATCTCTAGGGAGAACCACCAGAGCAGATTTACTAAACTAAACTATTTGTTTTTTGTTTTTTTTTCCTCAAAATGTTCCTCCATCTTTTGTATTCTTTGGCCACATTTCCAGTTTTGGATCGAGAGATTGCGCCTTCCCGTCTTTCCCATGTGTACTTTGGAGGCAGAAGCCTGAGACATTCTCACTCTTAATGAATAGGTGCTTATTTGGCGGCACACCTCGGTCACAGGGGTCTGGCCAGTGAAAGCTTTTAGTGTGCCCGCGTCTATGTGCGCTTTATGGTCCTGTTTGTGTTATATGAATCCGTAAGCTATGGATGTTTTCTCCCAGCCGAGGGCGTGGAAATGCAGGCCTCTCCTGTGTGAATGTGCCTCTGTGTGCGGCGGCTCGGAGGGCCGGCGTTCCCGTCTCAGAGGATGCTCACAGAGGTGCCGTCTCGTTTGCCTGAAAGCGCCCGAATGAGCTGACGGAGTGATAACGTCAGAGCGAGTCCGATCTGTTGGAGCAGCTGCTGATGTGGGTGTAAATTCATTCTTTCCTTTGAGGGGCGAGGAGCGGGCATCGCCCAGAGGGCAGCGGGCCCTGAAGGCATGAAAGCCAGGTTTTGTTCAAAGGGGGAGAAAATCAGAGGGCCATATTTTCTTGACATGGATGTTCCTTAACCTCATTTCAAAGCAGAGCGCTCCTCAAAGGGCGGTCTGTCTCCGTGTGGCTAAACATAACATTAACCCGCTCGGCCCTTTTTTCTCTGTCTCTCACTCAGAGCTGAATAAAGCCACTATGTGTCGGCAGAGCGGGCTTTGACAGCTCTCTCCCGTGACTGTATGGAAGTGTGTGGTATTTCGGGCTTCTGTTGTTAGCCGGTGACTCAGAGTGACATTTTTAACTTTACCCGCTTGGTTTTCCACCCGCTGTTTAGCATTTTACCAACGAGTCCCTTTTCCCTCCCCTATCTGTCTAACCCATCGGCTTCCAGCCCCGAGCCCCAACCCAAAATTCTCCTCCTGGCCCTCTGTTGGGGTCCATTTTTTCCCCCTGGCATGTTGGGAGAATGTTCCCTTTTTTTGGAATTTGACTAGCAGTCATCTGGCTGTTGAAATGATCCATCAGCCCCCATTCAGAGGCTCCAGGGGCCTGACTTCAGCAAATGTTTTAGTAGGGCAGCTGATGGACTTTAGTATAAAGTTTTGTACTCTAGATGGTTCAGATCAACTTGAATCAAATAGCTGTCACATTTAAGCCATGGAAGCCATCTCTCAGCACCAAACAACTGCATTTCAAATCTTTTAAAGGTTCCATCCAGCTTTAGGAGCTTGTGATTTTGTGTCCACATTTCTGCCCCGAGGCCCCGAATAAACAAACCTGCACTAAAGCTCCGGCAGAAACGTATCTAAATGTTTTTTTAGCTGGTTGTGACACAGTGTGGAAAAGCAGGCTGAGTGGAAAACTGTCCTTTAATGTCCTCCAGCCTAGGCAGAGATCATCCCTGTCTCTGTAACAGCCTCTGGAAAGTTGCTCTCTTTGAGTTATCATTGGGATTTCAGTCATTTCAAACAAAAAATGCTTGTGACCTCGTTTTTATCGTTTGAGTTTGTTAGAAAGCGCACAGCTTCGCTGCTTCTAGGAAGCCGATGCAGGAGGGCGTGGAGGCCAGCCGCCAGTTCTTCTGTGTGATGTTAATGCACATCTCTGCTCCAGACATCAGTGCAGTCCAGCCGTTTGAAAATAGCGCTGATTGTTGGCTCAAGCTTCTGTGGAAAGCGTCAAGGAATTTCAGAAAATCTTTGTAGATTTATGAAAAGCGACTTTCATGAGTCCAGTAACCATAATACAGCCTCTATCCCAGCATTTAGCCACTTTAAAAAGAATCTATGCAATAGGGACACATCCCAGTGAATCAAAATAGGATCTATTCTCTTCATTTTATATATATATTCTTTAAACAAGCCTGGTTGGGAATCTTTTGCTTTTTGCCTAAAACAAAGTTGTTTTTGTACGTTGTACATGTCTTATTGGAGTTGTATAAGCCTGAAATGTGCCGGAGGAGCAACCTCTCAGACTAAATATTTTATCAGAGCCACAACACGTAGCAACTAGCCAAACCTCTCCTGCGCGCGCCCTGCGGCGCGCTTCATCCGCCGTCTCTGCACACTTGTTGCAGCTAAATTACACCTCTAAGAACCCAGAGTGTAAGGTGCGAATCTGTTGAGGGGATTTCCAGACATTTATGAGCTTTTTGGTTTGGCTGTATATGTTTAATGCCGGTGGAAGTTAGTCTGATGCTATTATTTTGTCCTCCCCTCCTTGGAAGTCTGCTTTTTCCACAACCAGCAGCTATTTTTACCTCCATTAGCACCCAAAAATGGTCAAATCTGTGAGCAGATTTAGAGAGCTCACACAAGCCTTACTAGGATCAAATCATTTGAGTTTTAGCGATCAGCACAGATACATCGAGACTTTTAAACAAGATCAGTCATGGTCATACTAACTGTTAATTCCATGTGATAGTACTTTTAAGGGAAATACTGACTCTCCTGGTCCCACAGAGGCCTTGTGGTGTCAGCATCCACCCCCAGATCCAAACTCAGCCTGCGGCCTCCAGCCCTGAAACCACACAAGACTCCAGCATGATGCACACTGGCACTATCAGTGGGGCACAGACAGGCTGGACAGACCACATGATGGTGCACAGGCAGCTGCAGGACGGTAAACACAGGCTCAGCAGAAGCGGAGCCGGTGCCGTAGACACTAATGAATCAGGTTATTAGCATTGGGTGTACAGGTGTATCACAGAGCCGGTCCCTGAGGGCCGCTGTCCTGCAGGTCTTAGATGTTTTTCCTGCTTCAGGACACCTGCATCTGATTAAATGCATCTATTCAAAAGATCATTAAGCCCTGCAGCGCCTGCTAATGGAGCCCTGATTTGAATCAGGGGAGCATCTAAAACCAGCAGGGCAGCGTCCTTTGAGGACAGGATTTTTAAAAGTTTGGCAATTATCCAATTTCCACCATTTGCTTTCATATATCTTATTATAAGCACAGCTTGCCAGACATGTGGGACCTTTAACATGGTCATTTAGCACACTCGGACAAACCAAACCCTCAGCTTATATGAAAAGGACATTTAAATAAAGTTTCTGTACAAATCGGACCCATAATTGATTTTCTGTCTGTGTACACATTGCATTATAAATACATCATAACCATAGAGCTCCCTGCTGGAAATTATAACCTGCAGGAGGACTTTTTACCATTGTGGTTAGCTGGGTGGAGAGATGGCTGGTGTTGGAGGAAAGAACTGGAATTTAGTTTAGATTTGTCAGTTTAGATATGTATTTGGTGTACGTCTTCCCTTTTTGGAGATCTAGAAATTCTTTTTCATTTAAGCCCCTCTGATTTTCCAACCGTATCAGGTCAGCTTTGGAATCGACTGGAGGCCAACAGAAAATAAAAGCAGGGATGAAACTGTGGGCTTTGGTTTGTGTGTGTGTGATAATCTGTGGGCAGTGTAACAGGTCCACCTCGCTCTGTGTGTCTAACACTGTGGCTGTTGTGTAAAGGTGAGAGGTGAGGGGTCAACGTGTCAGCTGACGTGTGCGTCTGGTATTTGGCACAGCTGTGCCAGAAAGGGAAAGGTTACACGTGCACGCACACACACACACACACACAGACATGTGCAGGTACATGATGCTCAAATAGAGGTTGTGATGGAATGTGTCTCAAACAAAAAAGCCCATCAGAGGAAATGCATAATTTTCCTCTGAAGCCAACAGTGAGACCGACAGTAATGCATAACTCTGCGTACGTCGCCATGCACTTCAGTAACTCATCTATAGCCTCTTTATCTAAATTTTAGTTTGTTTGCCTTCATTTTGTGGAGATTTTCCCCAAACCCGCCTTTCCTTCTGCTCTGTCTTTGAAAGGAAGGGTTGTATGTTTCATTACAGAGTGAACACAATCAGCTTAATCCTTTATGGTCCGACAGAAGTTGCGCTTTTCATTTTTCACCCTCCTCTACAAAGTGTGTATGCATGAAAGCGCCAGTGTGTGGTGTGTCACGTTAAGCCCTGACGCTCCATCAAATTGAATCCGCTTCAGCGCCATCTAGTGGCCACTGTATGGAATCACACAGTTCCAAAAGTGAGCACATCCTACCTTAGATGTAACTGCACCCCTGATTTTACAGTTTTGCTGTCACACTGAAGACATCGCACATGTTTTCTGCCGCGTTGTAGATGCCTGGTCTGCCTTTTTGGTCGGCCGTGCTTCTGTGGGACTGGGAGTTTCAGAGAAACAGTGACACGATTGTGTCCGGGTGGGGGCACCTGTTGAACAGCTTCATTATTGTCCCAAAAAATTCTAATCATCTCAGATCGTTTTCAAGCAGGCCTATCAGTCTGTTTGCAGTTCTGCTTAAGGATCATAAGAGATTTATCTGATTAAAATTCTACTCATTCTACTCATTTGTAAATGCCTCTTTTTGATATTGTCATTGTAGAAAAAGTGTATTTTTGTTTTCCTATCTGCGCTATTAATATAATGCATAAAGAGCTCAAATAAGGGAAAGAACAGGAGACTTTTCAGCTGTTAAAGCTCGGTAATAGTATTCCTCAGTTAATGGTCTCTTTCATTGGACTTTAGCGGGTGCAGCTGTCAGTCGGGGTGACTGTTCAGGCTACTGTAATCTCTACTTACACTGCTCTGGTTGTGACTGCTCTCACGTGCCCGAGAGCCCTGTTTCCTGTCTTAATGACAGCGGGGTAATTGGCCCACACTTACATCAAACGTCTGCAGCCATCTGTGAGTGCTTATGGGTAAGAGCGGCTGAGGGAACAGGAAGAGGAAGAAAAAAGCGGGCAGAGAAGGCAAAGTTGTGCCCCTCGGCCGTCTGTTTTCATACCTTGTCTAGTTTCATATGCGCCACTCCTCGTCCCGCGAGGTGCAGTTTTCTCTGCCCGGGTCGTGCGCGCCTCTGCGTCTCGGTGTGTTATTTTTGGTGGGTGTGTTTTTGTCGTGATTGTGGTCCTGCAGGCAGGAAGGGCCCCGGCTGCAGATGTGAGCTGGGCAGCCAGGAACAGAGCAGCACATTGTACTGGACATACTGGGGGAGCTCAGGCTGCAATCCGATCCAATATCCTGCCATCACAGAACCAGGCTGTCTACTGTCACTGCCGACCCCCCAAAACACGCACAGCCTCCACCTTTGCCTGAACCTCTCCCTCCCTACCCCTCTCTCATGTTGCCCCCCCCCACCATCCCCTTTCATACCTGTATGATTAATCTGAAGCATTCCTTCACGTGAATTAAAATATACTGTTAAGATTCAACCGAAGTATGTGTTCATGTTCATTTAGGAAGGATTCTTTACACATCCCTGTTGAAGTAGATTTTTTTTCTTTTTTTAATAGTCCAAATGTTAATTTCCTCCAGCAAGCAGTTTTTTCTGCAGGTTTCTAATACAACACCACGTCACTCCATCTCTTCCTCTTATTCTCCTCCGTTCTCTTCTCTTCGGTGTAGAGTGACATTAACAGGCTGTGGTCCAGACACCCAGGAGGAGTATTAACACACCGTTTGCTGTCTGAATAAATATTACCATCTGTGGGCTGACTTGACTAACTCCTGCCTCTGAGACACTGGGTGTCACCTAAACATGAGCACCTCTGATGGGGTCTAAGAACAAAAACAGGGAAATGTCTCATTAGATACCAGTATAAAACCCAAGAGTGGCTCCAATGCAAACAGACACGACATCTGGTACTTTGTGACATATTACAGTGTGTTATTTGGAAATTATGTGAGGCATTAACTGTGGATCAGTGTGTGGATAAGAATGAGGCGATTTGAAAGTGAATCAAATTTAAGCTCCTATTGGATAGATATCTGTTTCCCTGGTGTTGATTTGATTTGCTCCAGTGGTTCTCATATGTAACAATTCGTGCGGTGCTGTTTCATGCTTGGTAGTGCTTTTCAAACATAACCAAAGGGGCATAATAGAACACTTTCTCCATAAATATTTAGCTTTTTGAAGGGAAATTTAAAGTTTGTTGGGGTTTTTGTGGGGCTGAAGAATGAGATTCATTGGTCATGTCATAGATGGGCTTGGTTGTAGTCTTTTTTACTGGAGCGATGCATCACTAGCTCTGCAAGCTTATTATAGCAAGCATCACTGGCTGGCTGCAAGTGAGTTTAATTGGCTGTTAACAACAAATATGGCTCTCTGGTGCACCTCAAATACAGAAAGTCTAGCCAGGACTGTGGGTGAATAACTTCTGTGGGGAAAATGTGAACACAGCTTGCTGTTTTAATTTTATAGCTTCTTCCCCTCGGAGCCTCAATCTCAGTCAGATAATTATGTTTCTTTCTGATTCTCAGGATGCATCATGTTCTTACAGTGAATTAGAGTCCCCAGTTTTGTTTGGCTTATTTGCCTCATACTTGTCTGTCATTACATCTTAAATTAGACTTACGCTCTGGACCTTGGGTTGTAAAAAAGAAAAAAAAACATTGCTTTAAGCAGATAGAACTATTTCTCTAACGTTTCTGTGTACAGATGATTTAACAATACACATTACTTAGTCTGCGGCTAGCATTCAACATCAAGACAACTCATGACAGGGACTCATTAACTCAGTCATTTTAGTTCAAAACAAGCTGTACTGTGCTTATTCACTAAATAAAATATGTAAAAGTCCTTATTAAGAATCCAGCATAAATACATATTTCTGATCTTTATTTGCTGTTGCTAGCATCACCTTGAGGAATTTAATCATAAGAAGTACTGGTAAATAAAGGAATAAATAATATTCATATAATAAAAAAGTACTTCTAATACAATTATATAACACAATGATAAAACATATATAATAATGATTTTAAAAATGATTACAAACGTCTCTGTAATCATTTGTTTTACCCTTTTATACTGAAAAGAAAGGAGGAATCTTACCAAACAATATTAGTCGTACTCTGACATCCTACCCCCCGCTGCACTCACCCACATTAGTTTACTGCTCTGTTATCGTTGTACATATATGTTTTAGAATGAAAATCATGTCAGTATGACACTGTATCTGAGTAACGTGGAGAACCCGGCGCAAACTGCCAGTGGAGAAACCCACCGGCTGCCCGCTGTGTGGGAAGGAGGAGGCAGGACATTCTGCTGGTGTGTGTGTGTGTGTGTTATGTTAAGATGTGAACTGCATACCTGGAGATATTGAGTGTTTGTACATGTCAGGTGAAACTGTGAAAGGATTGTTCTGCCAAATAAATATTAATTCAGCTCAACAGAATCGCATCAACAGCCACTTGTTCCTGTTCCCTGATAAATGTGAGCAGAATGGAGGGCACTGTGTCTGTTATGATGTAAACTGAGCTTTACTGTGCCCTCCCTGCTCCATATATGCGGCTTGGACTGTTGCCCATCTGCTCTGAAACAGGGCTTTCTTTCTTGGAATACACCTAAATGTACAGTGGTGGCCACTTCTGACCTCTCCTGTACCAGATCCTATATCACATTGCCCCTGTGAAAACATTTAAGACGACACTCAGGTTTATTTTCGATTTTACAGCTTTTCAGGATTCATTTGAAAAAGTCCGTTGCTGAAAGAGCTAAAAGGAGAAAATTTTCTGTAAATCTGCTGCAAAAAACAACACCATGACGATATCAGATGTCTCATATGCTTGATAATACCAGTGAAAAACGGTGAAACTTCAGCTGGAAGCTTGTGTTTGATTAAGCGGTTTGTTATAAAGTGTGACACTTTTCTTCTTTTGTCTGGGCTCACCTCTTTGGCACCAGACCCAGTGGACGTGTTGCGGGCTCTGCAGGTTCCCTCCCTCCCCGAGGGTGTAAAGAAAGTCCCTGGCTTCTGCACATCCCGCCGCTCCAGCAGCCCTGACCATGCTTACCGCATCACCAAGAAGGCCCAGATCTCCGCCCCCACCAAGCAGCTCTTCTCAGGTACCCCTCCGATGATCTGAAGGCTTTTCTTATTGCAGACACATAAAGAGCCAAATGTGAGTTTCTGAGATTTCTTATTGCACTTTTCTGGTCGTGGGATCACATGAGATCTTTGCTTCATTAAACTAGACATATATATAGCTACTTTGCTTGGGGAGCTTAGGAATAATTAGCTTTGTGCTTGTTCCTTTTATCACTGTGGAAAACAGGCCATGATGAATATAATCTGTGACGAAATGTCATTAAAGCTTGCTGCTCATGCTTGGACATATTTTGAATCATGAATGTATCTTTAACTCAAATTCTCAGGTTTATTTTGGCCGTTGTAATCTTTCCTAGATTGCTGTAAGGTATAATTAACACTGTGGAGGAGCCACAGCTTTAGAGTATTCTCTGACACCAACTACTGAGAAAAAGAAAACAGAACGTAGCATTTATGTGGTGGAGAAGAAATCCTTAGACGTCAAAACCGTTTCACTTCATTTTCTGTTTAGTCCAGCTGTGTCCAGCTGTAATTATGAGCTCACATCATCCTCTGAATTCTAGCTCTACTCCATCCAAATGAATGTTAATCTAAATAGAAATCCCACCTCAGTCTCTTAAAGATCATCATTTATGTTTTCCTACTCTACTTCTTAATTCTTGTATTTTTCTTCCCCAACCCTCTCTTTCAAAACGGTCTTTTCCTCTTTTCTCTCCTGACTTTTTCTGACTTTCTGACAACTCAAAACACCTACAAGCAATTCTTCCAATCGTGTGTTTTCAACCCATTCTTATTTTTTCCCTGTTTTCTATCCTTAACTCCTCCATCCACAGGTCGTTTCCCAGAGAACTTCTCCATCATGGCTCTGGTCAAGGCCCAGGCTGGTCTCCAGGCCTTCCTGCTCTCCATTTACAGTGAGCAGGGCATCCAGCAGCTGGGCATTGAACTGGGCCGCTCACCCGTTTTCCTGTACGAGGACCAGAACGGCAAGCCAGCCCCTGAGGACTACCCACTCTTTAAGGGTGTCAACCTGGCTGATGGCAAGTCAGTAACCAGCAACAACCAGTTTCTGACTGGTTGAGATCACATGATTTGGGTCATGTTGGTGGTTGGGAGGCGTATTTGTGTGCCTTTTCGCTCCTGGCTGTGGTCACATCTGGTTTTGCCTGTGGTTCCTGCTCCTCGGCTGTAGGTGGCACCGCATCGCTATCTCTGTTTCTAAGAAAAACGTGACACTGCTGCTGGACTGCAAGAAGAAGATGACCCGCCCACTTCCCCGTGGCAACCACGCCGAGGTGGACACCAACGGGATCACAGTGTTTGGAGCCCGTCTGCTGGATGAGGAGGTTTTCCAGGTTAGAATGATCCAGCCAACAAAGTTGTTGGGGGACAGTTCCTTTATGATTAACACTTTAAATGAATGAATGAATGAATGAATAGTTTGTGGTTACATTCTACAGATAACTTGCTGATGCTGATAAAAAAATTTCTAAAACATTTCAACAAAGTTGGTAACCAGAAAAAGGGAAAGGCTTATTCTTTCCTGTTCAGTCCACTAAAACAAAATAAAACAAGAACACATAATAGTATTTACTCCAAATTATTCATCTTAATCACATCCTTCATCATTCAAACACAACAGAGACCTTCACAATGTGAAATTCTCACTCAGTCCATTCCAGAGTTTGACTCCTAAACAAGAAGCACGTCTGTATTTAACAGTAGTAAAATCCAGATCTCACTAGTGAATGAGTTTCTTCAAGCTTCTAACCCCATGTTTCTTCTTCACAGGGAGACATCCAGCAACTGCTGATTGCCTCCAATCCCCAGGCAGCCTATGATTTCTGTGAACACTACAGTCCTGACTGTGACTCCCCTCTGCCCAAGACCCAGGCTCAAGACCCCAACACATATGTGAGTGGCACCGCAACACAAAAGCACGCGCGCACACGATCCTGCAGGGAACAGTGACTCCCTTTTGTCCATAACCCAAACATGCTCTTTTACCCCCTTTCAAGTCTTGTAGCATAAGATGTTCACTCAAAAAAATAGGCCGCAGCCGAAAACAAATGCAGAGATAAAGACTAAGGAGTCCATTCAGTAATATCCATTCATGAAAGCATGAGCTCATCTGAAGCTCCCGGAAAGCTGACCCAACAGAATCTGTGTCTTCTTTTCACAGTGGACAAAACTATTAAAGGAAAAAACAGTCAGTTTGTTGATTAATTCTTTATGCTGTGATTTTATATAATCTGTGTCTTAATCATCGATTGAGCCGAATGAAAACGCTCAGCTTCTAATTAGGAAATATAATAAGTGTTGAATATTCATGAGTTGTATGAATATCACCAGAGTGCCAACGTCCCTCCCAGCTCTTAATGTACATGATTCAAAATGAACTCATTAGATTCAGAGTGTCCAGCCATCATCGGCCATCAGAAAAGGAACTCCTCATGTTCAGTTTGGGTCATCTGATGATGTCATCAAAGTGCTGCTCTCCCTTTCTGTCTTCCTCCCCTCGTCATCATCAACAGTTTGTATCCATCCATTTTCCCCCTCGTCTCCACATTCTGAGAGTCATGTAAATAAGCAAAGCAGAGACTCGATCAAATTAAAGCTCTTGCATTACAGTTATTTAAGAATGGACATATTTTCATAAATAACTGGAGTTTTAGGGGATTAGTTGCCATTGTTTTCTGTTCTGCAGCATTGGAGCTCAGACAGGTAGGGGGAAAGGGATGATACAAGCAAACAGCAAAATCTCTCCCTGTTTTTTCTCAAGGAGTGAAAGAAAGAGAGTAAATCAAACTCCCCTAGGTATTTTGGTTAAATTTAGCATGAAGGTGGCTTAGGTTGGAGCCTCTTTGCTTACTGAGACTGTTGTGTGCAATACGTGCATTTTAGGTTTTGCCAGCTGTCACTTGCTCTTTTTTCTCTCAGAGACATACTGATAATATTTAGATATTTGGGAGACAGCATTCCCCTGACCCCAAACGCATCACAGAGCTGTAAGCTGCAAATGACTTTCATTTGCATTCATCCATCCAAAGTACACCATCTTTTTTAAGCCTGCATGCCTGACCTGAGGAGGAGTAAAATGTCCACCGCTGTGCAGAGCTCCGAACCCTGTCGTGTCGATGCTGTTGAGATGACTGCTGCTGAAATGAATACAAATCACTGTGGTTTTATTCATTGATTTCCATCATTTCTTCATTTTACCAGTTTTCTCATTCATCAGAGTTGCTTTTTTTTAAGTCAGCACATTTTTACAACCCCCACAGACTCTGATGAAGTGAGAAATTAAAGCTTTGCATTTGGTCGTTATCCCCTTTGCTGTCTCTTGCAGTCTGTCAACATGCTAGTTTTTGCTTTTATTATCTCTCTATGGTGTCTGAAACCCATCCTTCCCTCTTCATGGAAAACCATTTTCCCCTCTTTGTGCATTCCTCTTGCTTTCACATCCCCTCCCACCCCCCCGCCCTGCCAACCCATCCTCCTTTTCTTCCTTCCCATCTTTCGATCCTTCCATTTCTCTCAGTACTTTGATGAGGAGCAGGATGACCATGAATACCCCTATTATTATGAGGAAACAACAGGCATTCCCTTCTCCTCTGCGCCCCCCTCTCCCCAACCAGGGGACCCCAAACAACAGGTAAAGTGGGAGCATGAGAGAGGGAAAACATTAGCCGGGTATGTGGAAGGGAAGAGGAATGAGAGGCATTAAAAGAATAGTACTGTTAATCTAAGTTTAAATATTTGCAGAATTTATTCTTAAATGATACATTCTAACTTTAGTGAATGATGATGCCTCTCATCTCCCATCATTCCATTCGCTTATCACTTACTTCACTCTTCCACTCTCACCATCTCTATCAAACAAGATTACTTTAACTCCTTGTGATTATTTTGTTCTTGTGGTATTTGCACATGGTAATTTGTGAATGTGTGTTGACACGTGGCCAAACGGGGGCACTGGGGAGGTGACGGGAATACATTTCTGTATTTGCAGATTTTTTTCCTCAAAACAGCATATATCATGAAAGATTGTTCTAAGAACAAAAGGATGAAACGTACACTTAAAAATATTTTTCTTTCTTATTTAAAAAATATATAAACACACAATGGGCTGGCATCATGAAAATTGTGTACAAAATGTACTTTATCATCTTTATTTTTCATATTATTTAATGAGATGAGTAGTACATAGTGTATACAGTTACAGTAACACTCATAAAACACCTGAGAAAATGCCAGAATAATGTAATATTGAGACAAGCAAACATAAATTGTTATATTTTACATCATTTCTGGTGTTTGCCTGAAATTGCTGACTCTCCTTGCACGCTCTTTTAAAACTCACTCTACCCATTTGGGTCTTTAGTTTATCCTAAAAATGTTTCTGGGGTCTGCATTACTGTGCAAACAGGTGTCTCTTATTGATTTTTTATTTGCATGATCTCATCAGTGTCTTGAAGGATGTTCGGCATGCACCTGCTGTATTTCTGCATCATCTGGTTTCACATCCGTTGTTGGTCAATGTTCTGCTGGGATATCCATACAGATGGTTTCGTGACATTCATGGTTGTACATCTCGTAACCTCGTGTAGAATACACGCATGTTATAGTTTGTCTTAAAGACCGTTAGATATCTGAACTGCCCATCTAAAAATATTCTCATCTATGGCCTCTTTTCTGTCTGTAAATTGGATTTTTCTTCATATGTCCTCTTATGATTTGTGTTTGCATGTGTGTCTATTGTAGAGCATTAGTCCTGTGGATTAATCACAAGTAGTACTTATCATTTTTGTAGTTAGTCAGACTAACACGCATTTGCATGCCAGCTTCAAATCTGTTTCCTTTGCATGGCTAAATGGCAGCAAACTTTTCTCTCTTACAGTTGGACTGGTCAGTGCATTGTAGCACAGCAGGTCAGTGCATCACTGAAGTGTGTGTTTTTATGTTTGTGTGAGCGTTACAGACTAAAGTCCGCATGTGTGCGTGTGTTCATGTGTTCAGCAGCAGGCTTTACTCGACCAGTCACACCCTCAGTGCCTCTGCTAAGCCACAGCCTCCAATTCCTATTAGCACAAAGACGCTGCTTTGTCATTTAATATTGGGAATGGCATTACTGGAGAAAACAGCCCAAAAAAAGTTGCAAATTTCTCACATGTATTTTGTAAATTCATTGCTGACTTATTCTGAGCACCTGTTGTTTTTGTAGACGTTTCCTTAAAGCTTAAATTGGGCTGTATCCAGTAATGCCTGCACAGTCTCAGTAAATCATCCAAGCCTGAGCCATCTTTATGTCATTGTTTCTCAAAACATCCACTCTTGTCTTTTTCTCTCTTTCTGTCAATCCCTTGTTTGTGCTTTTCACCCCCCTCCCAACCCCTCCACACATCCTTATCATCTTCAACCCTGTTTCCTTTTTTTTTTTTTCGTCAATATTCACTTCTACACAATAAACATCAACCAAACAATTTGCATGGACATTAGAAGAAGGCCCCCAACGGGAAAGCAGCTCCCACTAAGTCCACCCTTGTTAAAGCTAAACCCACTCCAGCTAAGCCAGCCAAGACTAGTGCATACAAACTTGTTGTTAAGCCGCCTCTGCCTACCAAGGCCTCCAAGTCTTCAACAGCCAAGCAGCAGAAAACAAAACCCACAGCAGCGGTGAACCTTTTGTCTAAGATCAAACCGACTGCAGCAGCTAAATCCAAACCCACAGCTGCTCCGAGCAAGAATGGAAACGGTAAACCGACTGCTCAAAAGAAACCAAATGGCACCGTTAAACCCAGCGTCAACGGCAATGGAAAGACCTCTGCAGCTAAATCTAATGGAAAGGCTGAGGCTAAGCCCACTGTTCAGGCCAAAGTGAATGGAAATGGAAATGGCAAGGTTGTAGCTGAGAAGAAAATCAACGGAAACGGAAATGGCAAATCATCAGCTGAGAAGAAAGTCAACGGAAATGTGAAAGCCACATCTGTGCCGAAGACGAACGGGAACGGCAAAGCTGCAGCAGAGAAGAAACCCAACGGGAACGGGAAAGCTCAGGCTAAAGGAAACGGTGTGGCTAAAGCTAACGGCGGCAGCAAACTCACTACTGCGCTTGAGAAGAAGGTTGTTAGTAAAGGGGCTGCGAACCAGGCAAAAAGCGAAACCACTACTAAAACAAAGGCTGACAAAGCCGTTAAAGTAGACAAGACTGTGGTCAGTGCAGCTAAAGCGGCTTCCAAAGTAGACGCCACCAAGGCCCCAACAAAAGCATCCAAACCAAAGCCTACACAACCGGCGAAAGCGATCACGACCAAAGCTCCAACAGCAAAAACCCAAAGCAAGGCAGAGGTGAAAGAGGTCACCAAAGTTAAAAGTGTGGGGGCCAAAGTGCCTCTGGTCAAACCAACAGTGAGCAAACCCGTAGTGAAAAAGGTTTCCATCCCGACAAAAGTAGCTCCAACAACAGCCCCAGTCCGGCCCACTCCTCCCAGACCCACAAAACCCAAGGTGATGGTGGACAATAATGTCAAGTCCAAGAACAGGCCTTTCCCCCCGTTCGGCAAGACTGTGCTGGGTGGAACTGCAGTCCCAGGGAAGAAAGTTACCAACGGTTATCAACAGGTACAACATGAGGGCTCATGTTTGGGTTGCAAGTCGTATGTTCCATCTCTCCAGTCTCTGTGCCGGCTGTTTCAACCGCCCAGGATCAGCAGCAAAATGCCTAAAGTCGCTGTTCTTAGGGGTCTCCCTCATCAGTGGCTGGTGTCGAACATTTTGCTGCAAATCCTCGACGTTGCACAAGCCGCTTAACAGAATGGAAGCTGGTTCATATCGAGCAGAACTCCTTCTCTTCCTTTCAAATTATCATATCATCCTCATGATCTTCCCAAACTCTCCATATGATATGATAGAACGGTGCACATCGACGCATGGCCGAATGTACAGTTTCAGTGATCTTTACTTGACTTCATGCTGCTACCCTCAGGCTGCTGAAACTGGATCTCAGAACCTAAATGATCTCCAGGGCACCACCTGTTTCTTTTCATGGAAACCATTAATCCAAAAATCAAATGAATGAGCATGGATTGCTATGGTGCAGACACTGAAACTTTGAAAGCAGATACATCATCACACCACACATGTGCAACACAATACAATACACCTGTCTCTTTCTTACCATCTGACTTTTTATCGTGTGCTTTCTTTCTTACGTCTGTCTCCTTGTCTTTTGTCATAGTTTATATTGAATGTGAGTAAAACAGCTTCACAGGAACTCTAGGCAAGCTTTAAGCTTGCCTCTATTTAACAATTGATGTTAATATATGACATACGTAAGGACAATATGGACACTAAACAATCTGAGATTTTTTTTACTCTAACTGGGTTCAGAACATTTTCTAGTTTGCCCTGACTGCTAAATGAACTGAATCATGTTCTGTGAGGCTGTTTTTTGGGGTTGTCTCATTTTCTACTCTTGGTGACATCCCGAAGCATCGTGCTATGATGCTTCCACCTTAAGGGATGGATAGATGCTCTCAGTCCACCTTAAATGAGAGCCAACTTCCCCCTTTTTCATTTATTTTGGCTTATGAGCTTTAAAAGCAAAAAATGGTTCAACAATAAGGCGAAAAGAAATCTCAGCAGTGGCTCTCTAAATCTTGCAAATGGCAAAATTTAAGTCATTGATATTCTGAAATTTCTTTTCCGAAATGGATCTTTACAAGTTTTAAAATGTGAGTTGCCAGTAAAAAAAAATAAATGTATGTGTTGTTCCTGGCAATCACAATTTTACGATGCGTACCATTTTCTTCTTTTACTCATCATTTAGAAGCAGATTTTATGCTAACCCTGCTCTTCCAATCAAATCTGCTTACTTCCTTCCTGCTCCCCATTTCCTGTCAACTTGACCAATCAGGACGTAGACACTGAGTATTCTGAGGCTGGCCACACCCCTACAGAGGCTGATTATTTCTATGAGGAGATGGTCCCACAGCCAGATGGTGAGGTGATTGGACAAGAAGAGATTACCGTTCAGGTAAAGAGAAAATGACACACTGCTCAGAGACACTTCAAGCCGAAGTTATGAAATGATAAGAAACAGAAACACCACCTGTATGATGGTGAGCCCAGTCTTTGTAGAATTAGTAGTTGGAACTCTTTGTCCCTCCTCTCACTTTTCTAACCAAACATCACCGCGTTTCACAGAACGTTTTCCTCCAGAAACAAATGCACCGCATTTATCTGCGTGTACCATCGAACATTTTCATGTGTTTCTCCTTTTTTCCTAACAGCAAGATTCAGTCTTTGTTCTCATCTCAGGACCTGAGGCTGACCTGGCGCTCGTCTTGATATGAGAACAAAAGTCTTGTGAAAAGCAGATCCACCTGAGAATATTTGATGTGTAGGTTTAACTACAGCAGCTAAATGAGATAAATGCAATGCGTTGCTGTCTGGAGAGTGCGTTACATATCACACCTTTGATTATCCTCATTTGAGAATGGTTGTCTCCTTATTCCTTATCCTTATTGTCGCTCCAACAGTTTATCTTTGTTAGATTATTATTTCTTTAGTGTTCTTGTTTTTTAAGAGAAACCTTTTGACTCCTAAGAAACATTTCGGTAAAAGTTGTCCATGTGTTGTTAAAAGGCTTCTGTTTAGTTCATTCCTTATCTTTTTCATATCAGGTATCAGATCTGTAGAATCCCACTGGTTTAATATTTGTGTAAAACATGGTAAGTATAATACTAAAGTAAGCTTTGCTGAGTAAAGCAGCTTGTTTACACAAAGTCTGTCATCATTAGTTTTGTGTGTTCAGGCTAATCTTACACCTAAGATAGATTTCCTTTTTTATTAGATATTCTTTTTTCCAAATAAATTGCAAATGAGTTTTAATACATACAATCACACACAAGATCAGAATGACATGATTTTGTGGAAACCTAGTCTGTAGAATTATAACGTAACTTACGATAATTCACTGGAAAAATCAGACTGAATGAGCTTTATTAAAGACTAGAGTGTATCAAGTGCCTTTTTATGCCATTTGTCACAGTTTATTTGCAAAAGGTAAGACTCACTTCTTTGTATATGCCCCTTCTTGCAAACCCACTTGTTTCAAACTTTATATATCTCCTTTACTAACATTTCTCTGTCTGGCATTCCCAACCTCTCTTCTGTTCGCTCCCCCTCTCCATCCTGTGTTTTCTTCTGCTTTGAACTTTCTTTCGGGCCTCCCCATCCTGTCCCAACTCTGATTAAACAACGCAGCCCCAGGTGGAAACAGCACTGGTCGGAGAGGAGGTAGATGCCACCAAAGCAGGCGGTGAGGGTGAAGAATTCTTCACTGAGGAGTATGTGACTGGGGACTTGAACCTTAAGGAATATGATTATTCCTACAAAGACTACAATGACCCACTACCAGAGACCAAAGAGGGGGATGGCTACATGGGCCCCGCCCTGTCCGCTGTGACAGACGAGGGAGGCGTAAGTAATTTTGATGAAGAGGAAAAAAGCAGTTTCAACCATTTCTGAGTACTAGTCTTTGTTAAACTGTATTCAGTCTTCTCTCATTGAGCTGTGTGAGCTTGCCTAAGATGTAAAAGTTTAAACGTGCCTAAAGCCTGTAGAAATCCCAGTAGAATCAGATGTGAAACATCAGTGATTAGAAGGCTTTAGTTAATAAACAGTGTCATGCACATATTGAATTTATATTTCTTTTAAATAGGGTTTCATAATTATACTCTAGGCAAACTCAATAGGTCAAAGAGAAGTATGTTTGAATGCATGTCGAGACTTAGAAGTCTATTCAGTGGTTGAAATTGGGTTTGTCTTATACAGTGAACAGTAAGTGACTTAGGATCCCAGGAAGAGAAATGGAGTCATTACCATCCTAGAAGCTGTTTGGGATCCTAATCAGCTTAATTAGTCATTAAAACTGCCCCCGCACACTGCATAAAGAGGCATTTAGAACAGCTCTACATGCCGTTTATATCAGTGTGTGGCTTTAGTTTAGCAGTGCAAAGCCCAGATGGCAGTCTATACGTAATGGACCAGCAGTGTGGAGCGCTACATAGTCACCAATCACAAGCAGCACAGCTTATTTTATTCGCTATTGACTCTGTGAACTTTGCGGTTTTCATTCTCAATGCAAGGTGCCGAAAAAAGGTCAAATGCATTCATTATTTAGCTTTGTTTGTGTGCGCCTACCTCCACAATGACTCTGCCGTGTTGTTTGCTACGTGTGATTTTTCCTCAGGCTTCCGTTAGAGGCCTGAAAGGAGAGAAAGGCGAACCTGCTGTCTTGGAACCTGTGAGTTACTCATTTTCTAAGCGGCTCCACATGAGCAGGTGTATTTAAACTGTTTTACTCCTGGGATAAAGAAAATCTACAAATCCAGTTATATCACAGCTGCTCATCAAGGATACGCTGGATTCCCAATAAAGGAAAAATGATTGTTTACTTTAGATTTGGAAAAAAGGGCAATGTAATCATTTTATTTTGTTTGGAAGAACAATTCCAGTGGAAGCAAAATAAAACCCCCAAAAATCTAGTTATAAACAGTGAATTATGTCCATCTCTCCTCTCTCTAAATCAGATACTGGTTCTGAATTATAAACACATCCAAAATCAGTTATTTTGCCCTACAATTATCACTTGTAATCATACAACTGAGCTTTTGTCTTTATGTAGTAATTGGCGACTGAGAGGAGAAAAATAGGTCAGGTTTAAGCATGAGGAAAGCCGAAAAGGAGGACAATTAAGTAATCATCTGGGAAAATATGTGTCTATGATGTCATATATCCATATAATGGAGCTGAATTATAAAGAGATTTACATGTAAAGGGCTGGATTTCCATGACTGCTGTGGATTTCCATTACTGCCATGGATTCCATAAGGAGCCAGCGAAAATAAGATGAAATTACGGAAACATGAGCTCTCCATCTCTGCTGGATCAGATGGAGGCTTATCTTGATAATAGGGAATTATAATCCACAGTAATTACATAGATGAGCACAGGCAGGTCTTCATTTATTTGGGTTGGAGGTTACTTCCATGTTATCATTGTTCCCCCTGAAATGCACATTAATGTGAGTCAAAGAAAAGCTGTAAAACCTCTTTACTTTATAAGCCAAATAAGACACTTAACATTTTTCTGTTTTTATCAAATGTAATGTGTTTAAGTCCCAAATTGGTTTACATTGACCACAATTTAATCTCTCAGGATTCAGATTACTGTGATTAAAAGGATTTCACGCCTTATTGTCCATTTCTCAGAATACTGTTTGCTCTGATGTTTGCAGGGAATGTTGATTGAAGGATCTCCGGGGCCTGAGGGACCTGCTGTAAGTAAATAATAGTGATGTTTTCAAATAGATATTAAATCTTTGAGCTCCTTTTTGGTGCTATCAGTTAGTTAGGTATTAGTCGGAACACTTTTATTTTGATATTCATAACATTCCTTTATATATACAGTAGGTTTGTTCCATTTATTGTTGCATGTTTAATGGAAAACAGAATGACATTTTCGGAGTAAATATTGATTTTATTTCCCCTTCTTCAGGGTCCTACTGGACCCCCTGGCTCCTCTGGACCTCCCGGCTCTGTGGGAGACCCTGGAGAGAGGGTAAGTTCTTTCCCTTTTATTCTAAGATGTGCAGGCCTGGTCGGTGCTGTTGAGCCTTGCATTAGGCACAGTTCAAAATCCATCTTTGTGCACATCCGCCAGCTTAGAGCTCCTTTTGTCCATCCTGCAGGGTCCCCCTGGAAGAGCTGGTCTGCCTGGAGCTGATGGAGTCCCTGGACCTCCTGGAACCTCAGTCATGCTGCCCGTAAGTGTTTCCTCCTCTGCTAGGAAGAGAAGTGTCTGTACACATGGTCCTGATGCATTTTATTTTCTTTTTACAGTTCCGGTTCGGTCAGAGTGGAGGAGATAAAGGACCTGTTGTGTCTGCACAAGAAGCCCAGGCAGCAGCCATCTTGTCCCAGGCTCGGGTCAGTTTTCACTGTTATCTCACTTAATTCAGTAGTTAATTTCGCTGCAGATGCTTCGTATTTACTTGAAAATAGGAATTGATTTAATTCCATCTTTGCTGACCTTGAAATTGTGATGTTTGTAGATGGCTCTGAAAGGACCTCCTGGACCAATGGGATACACTGGACGCCCTGGACCACTGGTATGTTGCCTGGGATTACTAACCTGTTCGTATCATGAGTTTGTTATGATTCCCTACTATTTAATCAAATCAATGTTTTATTCGCTTAGCTTTTCTTCATTTTCAACTCTAATGTTAAATTATTTAAGCAACAATTTCCAATAACAATAATTTCAGTTTGTGATGACGGTGTTTGTTTTTTCAGGGAAATCCAGGAAGTCCAGGTTTGAAAGGAGAGAGCGGAGATCCTGGTCCTCAGGTAAAACTCATCAAACCAGACCTCTTATCAGTCGTCACGTTCAAAGCATGAATTACATCAAATACTGTGGCTAACTTTTTTTAATGCATCTTTTTTTCAGGGTCCCAGAGGACCACAGGGTTTGCTTGGACCTCCAGGAAAATCTGGCAGAAGAGTGAGTAAAGACTGCATATCTGATTAAGATGTTTGTTTTAAGTGTTTGCTTCCTGAAATGGTCGTCCATAGCTTTTAGATCCTTTGCATGTAGAATTTTCCTAAATCACTTTATTTAAAATCACTTTAAAACACGACCTCCATCTCCTCCTAACAGGGCCGAGCCGGTGCAGATGGTGCCCGAGGGATGCCCGGGGAGCCTGGAACTAAAGTACAGTAGTTTTCTTTCTTGTTAAGGGGTTCCAACCCCTCCATTGAAGGAATATGGGCTCACCTGTCTGTGCATCTTTCAGGGTGACCGAGGTTTTGACGGCCTTCCCGGTTTGCCTGGTGACAAAGGACACAGGGTGAGCCACCCAGACACATTTGGGTCGTTTGGAATGATCTCCATCCAGGCTTGATGGTGGACGGTAAGAAGCTGAATGTTCAGAATGTTCTCATCCTTCCTCTCTTCCTTCTCATCAGGGAGACACAGGACCAATGGGACCATCGGGATCTCAAGGAGAGGACGGCGAGAGGGTGAGAGCATCAAAAACAGCTGTAAAACATCTGTTAGCTTGTGTCTCCGTCTCTTCTTCTCATCCTGCCGTGTTGCATCTGCCTGTTCTCAGGGAGATGACGGAGATGTTGGACCCAGGGGTCTTCCAGGTGAACCCGTGAGTGTTTCCATGACGACCAAACAAACCCTTCCAGCCTCACTGACTTTCTTCAGCTGACAAATCCCATCTTTGATGGGTATTAGTGTCTCATTTGTCTTTGTGTGCGTTTGCCTTCAGGGACCTCGTGGTTTGCTCGGGCCCAAAGGTCCTCCAGGAATCTCTGGACCTCCTGTGAGTACAAACCCGCTCCGGCCACACAAAACCATCAGCATCTCCTAAAACAACACGCCGCTGCCTGATATAACGTCAGAAAACCAGTAATCTAAAAACAGTCCCACAGTCTGCTTAAAACAACTCAGAGATGTGCACCGAGCATCAGTCAGGGTTCAAATATGGGGCTTGGTTAGGCACAAACACCTCTTATTTATGTGGACTGGCTTGTGTTGCTGGGGTAGTGTGGCTTTTTAAGCCTTCTGCTGCACTTCCTTTTGTGTGTTTGTGTTTTTGTTTAGTTTAGTTTAAAAAATGATACAGCAGAGCAGAAATCTCAGTTTTTTTACTTGTCTCACCTGTGAACAGATATTTTTAAAACTGATGGGCTTCTGTGTTTAGCGGCAGTGTTCAAATACGCACCAATTCCCACAGAAGGGGGGCAGCTTGTTTGAAATCTGTTCTCTAAATCTTAATGTTTGTCCTCTTTTTTCAGGGTGTACGAGGAAATGATGGACACCAGGGCCCCAAAGGAAACCTGGTTAGTAACGATTCTGTCTTGGTTTACCCTCAGATGTTTTAGACAAGCAGAGATTCTGGAAACATTATCTTTCATTTCTTAACATGACTCGTGTTTTATGTTATTCTCTTTTTGTCTGACAGGGTCCCCAAGGAGAGCCAGGTCCTCCAGGTCAGCAGGGAACCCCAGGAACTCAGGTGACCAGTTCCACCAGCTATGATCTTCATCTTGTTTTTGTTTTTTTTGGCCTGGTTTACTTCCCTGTGTAACATGTATAGAGTTTATCAAGAGAGTGCTTCCTTTCCCCTCTCAGGGTTTAAGAGCTAAACTGAAAGCATTTTGCTGGATACTAAGAGGCTGAAGCCTGCTGATTTTTTCTCAACACTTTCACATTCATCTAATCTTAAAACAAACTTTGAGTTTTGATAAGTCACTGTTTAGCTCAAAAACACTTTATTGTTAAAACTGTGCAGCATCACAGCCCTGCAATTATGTTCTCTCGTTTTATTAGAAATTAGAATTTAAAAGCACTTGGTGTTGCAAATTCACAAAAGCAGATGTTTAACAGTGTTATAGAGAATGTATTCCTTTTTATTCGACTTTTCAGGGAATGCCAGGACCCCAGGGAGCCATCGGACCCCCAGGAGAGAAAGTAAGAAGCCGCAAACATGTTGTGATGGAATTTTAAAGCAAACAGTGTTTACGTAGTGTTATTTCTAGAACTCCTAGTTTTAATAAGAAATCAAAGCCTGCTGCATTTTTGAAGGGGTTCCTTTCTTTGAATCATTTTTTTCATTTTGTTAAAAAATTGGTGAACCAACAAATGAACAAACTCAACTTAGTCAGTCAAAAATAGATATTTTGCCTCTTCTTTGGTTAAATGTTCCTTCTGATACCGATTAATATAACATCATTTAAAATAATTATTCTTCCTTCCAGGGTCCCACCGGGAAACCAGGTTTGCCAGGAATGCCCGGAGCTGATGGCCCTCCTGTACGTTTGTCTCTTAAGAATTAATACTCACCTATAAAGTGTTGCATTTCTTTCCTGAGACCTGAGCCTTTTGTCTTTTTTTATCAGGGTCACCCAGGAAAAGAGGGGCCTCCCGGTACCAAAGGGAACCAGGTGGGGAGTCATCCTAACCTAATCCAATAGCAAGAACTCTCTTTGTCAAATATAAGAGGATATCTTTGTGGATTAAGTTTACGATAATAAAAATGTAGCCCAAATAAAGCATGCTCTCCTCCTTTAACCTCCTCCAGGGTCCCAACGGGCCTCAGGGAGCCATCGGCTATCCTGGCCCTCGTGGCATTAAGGTCAGTCCATCAAGGTGTTTGCAGAAAAGTGGAAATGTTATTTTAATTTTTTTTTTGCTAAATTTGCTGCTTTCTACGCTAACGTAGTTATTTGATTGCAGGGAGCTCAAGGAATCCGTGGACTGAAAGGTCACAAAGGAGAGAAGGTAAGTACATTTTAAGACATTGTTTCCTCCCATCAACATGGTAACTATGGTAACATGTTAAAAACAATGCACTCTATATTTGCTTATAGGGAGAAGATGGTTTCCCAGGAATTAAAGGAGACTTTGGTATCAAGGGAGAGAGGGTAAGGAGGAGAAAAAGGATATGAATGTGATAAATGGATGGAATCACTCATGTTTAATTATAGTGATTATTTAAAAAAAAATTCTGATGGATGTGTTTTGCATCTCACTGGCAGGGCGAGCTTGGCGTTACAGGGCCCAGAGGGGAGGATGGTCCTGAGGGGCCAAAGGGACGCGTTGGACCCCCGGGTGAAATCGGCCCGATTGGAGTTGTTGGCGAGAAGGTTTGACTTATTCATTCAGGGCTTTTTAAAGGTCTAAATGGCTCCTTAGTACAAGATGAAAGGCCAGTTATGTCGCTGATTATTACTGATAAACTTAAAATGTAACTGATCTTCAGTCCTTTAAATCCAGTAAGCATAATCATTTCTTTACTTTACACTTCTGAAATATTTGAACGTGTCTGTTTTTGGGACACTGATTTCATAAGTTATTTTATTCCTTTGGATAAGATAAAATAATTAACTGCAGCTCCCCTGCTTGTCTCCCATCACAGTTTTAAAAAAAAACAGAAATAAAGCAAAAATGCAGACGTGATAAGCAATGTTGTCATTGTGTGCTTCCAGGGAAAACTTGGTGTGCCAGGACTTCCTGGATATCCTGGAAGACAAGGACCCAAAGTAAGGGACAGATGTGCTCTGCATCTGTAAATTAAACTGACTCACTGTCCTTAAATGGGTTGTGTTTTCATGGGGTTTTTTGGTATTGAGACATTGCCTTTCTCTTTGTCTTTTAGGGATCTCTCGGATTTCCTGGATTTCCTGGTTCTAATGGCGAGAAGGGAACAAGGGTGAGATATTTGTTAGTCATCTTGGCTCAATGTGATGAAACGTGGTTTATTTTGTTCGTCTATGTCTGACTCTGTTGGTAATGTTCTTCTTTTTCCAATCAGGGTCTGACAGGAAAATCAGGGCCAAGAGGACAAAGAGGCCCAACGGTACCTTTTCCTAATTGATTAATTTTTTTTTAAAAGCTGCTTCCTCAATCTTTTAGTCTGCTCAGGGTGTCAGAAAATAACTCAACAACTGCTAAGAAAGTAGATTTCCTCTTGTTTAAATGAGTCTGTTTGACCTCTGACCTCATGCAGCATCACTGATGGATGCGTTTGAACCACTGGGGGGCAGAAAATATAAGGGTGTTGAACTCTGTCAAACATCAGTGTGGGAGCGTGTGGAGAAGGTTTTTTAATTGATGTTGGTTTTGTTTGTGCCCACCAGGGTCCCAGAGGGCAGAGAGGCCCAAGGGGGTCGACTGGTAAACCAGGAGCAAAGGTTTGTTGTCACATGACGATATACACTGATCATTCTGAGGACATTTGCCCACTCACAGTTTTAATAATGTTAACTATTTAGTAGTGACAGTTTCTAACATCACCGTTCTTGTCATTTTTTACTGTTGTTGCTTTACTCCAAACATTCATTAGAGTCAGGGTCAAAAAGTGATACAATTTGTTATCTAAAGGGTATATTTTGTGTTGTTTATTGATAGGGAACTTCCGGAAGTGATGGTCCTCCCGGTCCCCTTGGAGAGAGGGTGAGTATTTTTTCATTACCGGAAAGGATGTCCTGCCGATCACCTCTGTATTTCAGCATAAGAGCTCTAAAAGAATACATGTGTTCTCATTACTTTACATCTTCTTGACTCACAGGGACTGCCCGGGCCTCAGGGAGCCAATGGTTTCCCCGGACCGAAGGGACCTCCAGTAAGAAAATGTTTTTAGATACTGTTTTGTTAGTTTGCTCCTCTATGTTATTGTGTAAAGTTTCATTTTCACCATTTCTTGATGGATGAAAGAGTTTTTATCTGAACAGATGTTTAACATTTGATTATTTCAGGGACCACCAGGGAAGGACGGGCTGCCTGGACATCCTGGACAGAGAGGAGAAGTTGTGAGTGGGATGTTTTTTCTTACCGACGCTTCAGAAAAGACGGATGCTGAAAGTCAAAATATACAAAGTATATTCCAATACCAGCAGGGGCCGATATGTGGGACATCTCTCACTCATATCCACAGATTGCATCATTTGGAAACTGTAACCATCATTTCTGTACACTAAAACATTTAATCTCTTTCCCAATTTTTTACTTTCAAACCATAAAAATGTCTGAAGGCGCCCACGGGAATTTGATCAGATTCGTCTTAATACTCTAATTACGTATCAGGGGTAGATGTCTGTTTTATTTAAGCGTGCAGTTAAAGTCAGTTTTGAAATAGTTTATCTGGCAGCTGCTGAGCCCCAACACACATTTATAGTAAATTGGGTAATATCAATGTCCATTGGTAAGTTTGATGTATTTATTTAGATCAGTGTTTCTTTCCTGTTTCACAAATGTCGAAATTTGAGTTTTATAGATTTCCTGTTTACTGTGATTGTCTCCTGCAGGGTTTCCAAGGTAAAATGGGTCCACCTGGGCCCCCTGGAGTCGTTGGACCGCAGGTGAGCTCATCATCATGGACATCACTGATATCACAAATGATATCAACTGTACGCAACCTTTTTTCTCAATTCTACTTCTACACCCTGTTTATTTCAGGGCCCATCAGGAGAGACAGGTCCCATGGGTGAGCGTGGCCACCCCGGACCCCCAGGTCCACCTGGAGAGCAGGGACTTCCCGGTCCCTCAGGGAAGGAGGGCACCAAGGGGGATCCTGGACCCCCAGGAGGCCCTGGGAAAGATGGCCCCCCTGGACTGAGAGGTTTCCCTGGAGAGAGAGGACTACCTGGAACTCCTGTGAGTGTCAGCATGAGTAATACAGCAGGGTTTCAGAAAACTGCTTGCATCTAATAGACAGAAAAGATAAAAGTTTGAACACTTTAGAGTTGAATGGTGTGTTTTTATGATATTAGTTGCGTACAAAAAGGCCTAAATCAGACTCTGTATTCTAATATGAAGGTTTATTGGTACATCATTTTAATTTCCTGGGGGGAAAAGAGGATTAATTTCATTTACAGAGATCTGTATTTAAATTTAATTCAAATTGTTTTTTGGAATAAATTGATTCCTTTCTGATTTTGTTTTCAGGGTGGTGGAGGACTAAAAGGAAGTGAAGGCCCCCCTGGACCTCCTGGACCTGCTGTAAGTTTAAAGCCATCTTAGAAATTATGTTTAGAATATTTTGATCTTTCAAAAGTTTTAAAAATTATGTTTTTTTCCTTTCATCAGTGTTCTTGTTTTGTTTTTGCATCCTTATAAAGAGTGAAGGGTTCACTTTTTGAGCGCCTACTGGAATATGAACTCTCTCATGGGCTTCTTTAGGGTTCTCCTGGTGAGAGGGGACAAGCTGGAACCGGTGGACCTGTCGGACCTCCTGGTAGACCTGGCCCTCAAGGACCACCTGGACCCGCTGGAGAGAAGGGGGTCCCTGTGAGTGTTCTGTAGCATGCATTTACACAATATCAAATTAAGATCAAAGATATCGTTTGTCCAGATGAGACAAAACCGCATCAATTTTTCCTCTTTTCTGTCTTTTGCTGATAAGGGTGAGAAAGGTCCCATTGGCCCAGCGGGTCGAGATGGCGTGCAGGGTCCAGTGGGTCTGCCTGGCCCGGCAGGAACCCCTGGTGGACCCGGAGAGGATGGAGATAAGGTTACTAACTCCAGAGTTCTGATACATGAGTTACTTTATGAATGTGCTAAAGCTTGTAAAGTTTAATTTATAATAATCTGCTAAATCAAAGTTCTTTGGCTAAATAAAAGAGTCCTTCCAAATGAATCAGTTTTATAATAATTCATAATAATTTGCTCTGACTTTGACATCAAATATCTTGCTTTTCCAGGGTGAGGTTGGAGAGCACGGTCAGAAGGGCGCTAAGGGAGGAAAAGGAGAGCATGTGAGCATCATGAAATGTTCAGGTCTCGTTAGATTAACGGCTCACGGCTGCTCTGGTACTCACAGATTCTGTTTGCTTGTCAGGGTCCTCCTGGTCCCCCCGGTCCAATGGGTCCTGTTGGTCAACCCGGTGCTGCTGTGAGTAGAATCCGAAGCTGTCGTTGAGTTCATTGACAGCACGCTTGTTCTCACCTTTACTGCTGTGGTGCAGGGTGCTGATGGAGAGCTGGGTCCGAGGGGCCAGCAGGGGCCTTTTGGAGCTAAAGGTGACGATGGAAACCGAGGATTCCCAGGGGCTCCTGGACCAATCGGTCTTCAGGTATAAACTGCAGCGCTTTAAGATTTCTAAATGGTCTCTGATGTATTTCTTACAAGTAAGGAGCTAACCTTTTATTTTTTGGACCCTATTATTTCTGACCAAACGCTGTTCATCTTAACTAAATCTAAACAAACTATCCAAACAAAAATATAAGTGTGTTTTTAATTGAATTTAATCGATTTTTGGGGCGTTAAAGGGTTCAAACTGTCCTTTCTGTTCTGCAGGGACTGCCTGGACCTCCTGGTGAGAAGGGAGAGACAGGAGACGTCGGACCTCTGGTGAGTGTCAGAAACATAGGAGTTTTTGTCACATTTCTATCACGTGGAATCATAATTGATGACCAAATAAAAATTGTTTTCTATTTTTAGGGTCCCCCAGGCCCTCCAGGACCCCGTGGTCCTGCTGGTCCCAGCGGAGCTGATGTGAGTGCTAATGGCTGAAAATTAGGCCCACGTTAATGAGATTAATTTAAACTGACCTGAACAGAATGAGCCATAAAGTCTCTAAAGACGCAGTCCGTGAAGTTATTTTTATTAAAACGTGACATGACCAGTCATTGAAAAGTGAATTAGCTCTTAATTCTTGCTGTAATACTCATGTTCTTATTGAATCTTATCATTTTAACTTTTTACTATTTGGTCCTTTTTGTCTGATTTTTGTTGTATTGTTTTTTTTTAGGGTCCTCAAGGTCCTCCTGGTGGTTTGGGTAATCCTGGATCCATTGGAGAGAAGGTGCAACATAGATCATTCTGAAGGTGTATGCTGGTTTTCTGAAGAAAATAGAACTTGATTAGAATATTTCCTGTTTTCTCCACAGGGAGAGCCCGGCGAGGCCGGCCCTCCTGGAATCTTAGGAGAGCCCGGAAAGAAGGTGAGTACCTCAGCGTCTGACTGAAACAGGAGGTGAGAGGAGACGTCCTACGCTGCCTCCTCACCGGGAACGTTCACAGGGTCCTCGTGGAGAGCGTGGCGAGAAGGGAGAGGCTGGACAGCCAGGAACAGCTGGACCAGCTGGAGGACGAGGACGACCTGGAGACGACGGACCCAAAGGAAACCCCGTATGGCAAATACTCTCAGATCAATCAACCTGATCCTCCCCTTATATGCTCAAACTGGGATCTTCTGTTTTAATTTAGGGCCCTGTCGGTTTCCCCGGTGATCCTGGTCCCCCTGGTGAAGTTGGACCAAGAGTACGTATATTTTATATAGGACATTAGTTTGATGTTAATTAGTTAGCTCTCAAGAACTGATCTCAGTGCATTTGCCAGTTCAGTTCAACCTGTTTGTCCTAATCTGGAACAGCTGATAAACCACTAGCACTGGTCCGCTCTGCTTTCAGGGTCAAGATGGAGCCAAAGGAGAAAGAGGAGAGGATGGCGAGCCTGGAGAGTCCGTGAGTCAAAAGATGCTGCAATACAGACTTTAAAGTGTTTTCTTATCCTTCGATCTGTTCACTCTGATGACTCTGCGCGGCATTTCAGGGCTCCCCAGGACCTCCTGGTGAGAATGGACAAACTGGTCCTCCTGGAAAGAGGGTAAGCTCTTCCTCATCAGACATTTGACATCATTTAGAGGGCCTCTTTCATTGAGATTGAGTTTCTGTAGCTACTTCACGGTTTAAACTTGTCTCATCACTACTTGCCTCATCTGTCAGGGCCCGGCTGGAACAAGAGGACCTGAAGGACGCCAGGGAGAGAAGGGAACCAAGGTGAGTCCACTGCTTTTTAGTGCACCTTTCTAATTGAATCCGTTTGAGCTCATTATTGATCATATAAAAGGCTTGATATTAGAGTTCTGGTAGTTGTTTGGCTTCATAAAGCCAGTCATTTCCATCTAACCCTCAAGTTCTAGACTATTTCCTTAAACTTCACCACATAAAAACATCAAAACTTGTTATTGTAATACCAAACTGACCCATTCTGACCCCGTCATGGGTTTACATTTTCACACTGTGAAAATTATGGAGTAAAAAACTGCCTCTTATGATAAGATGTTTTCCAAACTGTTCTAAAACCTGCACTTCGCATCAGATAATTACATCATTTTAGGTAAAGTGACGTTACACAGCCTCTTCAGCCTCAGAAACCAGTGTAATCTGAACTGAACTGTCATAGAAGGTGAGGAAAAAGGAAATCTGTGATGACGATGAGCACCTTTTACAGGGAGATTCGGGTGCAGTCGGGCCCCCGGGGAAGACTGGCCCTGTTGGCCCTCAGGGTGCACCAGGCAAACCAGGGACAGAGGGTCTCAGAGGACTCCCAGGATCAGTGGTACGTTCAGTTTTTCACCCTCTATGTTTGTTAAAACAGAAAACCCAGCAGGAAATAACAGCGCTGTGTCGGAGGCCATGAGCTGACTGTGTCTGACTGGTTTTCAGGGCGAGCAAGGATCTCCTGGACCGGCTGGACAGAAAGGACCACCCGGACCTATTGTGAGATCATGAGAGCCTCTTCTCTATGTCAATTAGCATTCATCGCCCTTTTTTGCACCACCTGTCCTCTGATCCTCTGTCCCCTCCTCCCATCCTTCAGGGGCCGCCTGGTTTGCCCGGCCTGCGAGGAGATCCTGGTGCAAAGGGAGAGAAGGGACACCCGGGTCTTATCGGTCTGATCGGACCCCCAGGAGAGCAGGGAGAGAAGGGAGACCGGGGTCTGCCTGGGCCTCAGGGATCCAATGGACCCAAAGGAGAGAACGTAAGCTGGACCTGAGTCCCAGCTCTGTTGTTCTTCATGATATTCTGAAATAATCCATTAACAATCGACCATGTGTTTGATTTAGGGAATGCCTGGAGGCACTGGACCTTTAGGCCCCGCCGGTCCTCCTGGTCTGCCTGTGAGTGGCCTGCTCTTTTTTTTATTATTCATCTACTTGTTTATTTATATTGTATCCAGGACCAAATTCAAATTTAACATCTTTTCCAGGGTCCTCAAGGTGTCAAAGGAGCTAAGGGTTCAACGGTATGTGTAAATTGTTTGTTTTTAACTCACAACATCCTGTTAATGAACCAACTTGGATTTGATTCTCGAATCATGTCTTCATCTTGTTTTAGGGAGGAGCTGGTCCCAAGGGAGAGAAGGGTGTACAAGGACCTCCTGGACTTCCTGTAAGTGCTACATGCTCAAAGTTCTCCTGTCTCTTCTTTAGATGCGGCTGCCGGCCATCGGTCAGAGGATTAAGATGTAAACTTGTCTCTCAGGGCCCGCCAGGCGAGGTCATTCAGCCGCTGCCCATCCAGAGGAGCCCCAAGTCCAAACGCTCCATCGATGCCAGCCAGCTGCTGCCGGAGTTCGACCCCGACACGCCTGCTTCTGACGCCGCCGGCACAGAGTTCCTGATGGGCAGCGAGGGCATGGAGGAGATCTTCGGCTCTCTCAACTCACTCAGACAGGAGATTGAGACCATGCGTTTCCCTCTGGGCACCCAGGACAGCCCCGCCCGCACCTGCCAGGACCTGCACCTCAGCCAGCCGGACCTCAAAGACGGTAAAGATCAGAACTCGAAGGCTCTTTTGCGTCACACTTCTCAGGCAAGCTTCTGGTTGTGTGTCGTCCATCGGGATAAAGCTCAGAGGCACTCCCGGTGTTCTCCTCCCATTCCTTTGCTAACGTCAAGAAAAAGCTATTTATAATGAAAATCAAGACAGTAAGAGCAAAGATCATTTCACGGTCTGCAAAAGAGTCTAAACCGCTAAATCAATTTCCACCTTTTGCAGGAGAGTACTGGATCGATCCCAACCAGGGTTGCTCCAGAGATTCCCTGAAGGTCTTCTGTAACTTCACCAGCAGTGAGACCTGCCTGCACCCCCGCAAAGACGTCGACACGGTGAGTCCGACCAACCCGCCGTTCAGTTTAAAGCCGCTTCCAGTTGTGGTTTTAAGGAGGAGATAAATGATTTCCTGGTTTATAGAATTTATAGAATTTCCCCATTTCTCCCCACTATTATTTAAGCAAAACAAAGAAACTGTTTAGATTTGATAAGAATAGTCCAGGTTTGTGTAGAACTGTTTATTTAGGTCGTCATTAATGCGAAAAAAAACTAAACTTGAATGCTCTGATGCAGGCAAAGATGAGCTCTTGGGACAAAGAGACTCCCGGGTCGTGGTACAGCCAGTTTGCCACTGGTAGTAAGGTTAGTAATCGTCTGTGGGTTCAACAAGTGAAAACCTCTACTCTTTGTACCCTCGATGGGATTTCTAATGTTTCCCTCCTCTCTCCACTGCCGCCTCCCACCAGTTCTCCTACGTGGACTCCAACGGCGACCCGGTGGGGGTGGTCCAGCTGGGCTTCCTGCGCCTGCTGAGCGTGCAGGCCCGCCAGAACCTCACCTACCACTGCCACCGCTCCGTGGCCTGGGCCGACCGCAGCGCCAAGAACAACCACAAGAGGGCGCTGCACCTCCGGGCCGCCAACGACGAGGAGCTGAGCTACGAGACCAGCCCGTACATCAAAGCCCTGGTGGACGGCTGCTCTGTGAGTTCCCCCGCGCTCCGCACAGCCCCCGGCTCCAAAACAGAGATGGGACACAACCCCACCTCATAGTGACACCAGAGTCCAGTCATTTTCAGACCTGGTGAAGCGATTATTTACACACAGCAGAATTCACGTCACAAGACTTTTCGCTCCCAAGTTGAATTTGATGGCAGCAACATGTGTTTTTAAAAAGGTTAGAGGAGCTCCACCTTTCCCTCTGTCCCTCTTCTTCCGGCATCAGTCTGCAAACATCTGGAGCTGAGGAGTCCAGCTGTGCCCAGTGCCCCTCTCTCTGATAGAGGATTCTGATAGAGGATTCTTTAAGTTTTCCGGTCGGTGAAACATCTGGACTTTTTCGCCTCTGTAGATGCAGGATGCAGTTTAACTATGTCCTGCTCCAATATGAGGGCCTTCCCCACATGGGGCCAGATGTTGCTGCCTCTCCAGATGTGTAGATTTCCAGTTCAATGAGCACTAAAGCATCCCCATATGAGCAGAGATGCAGATGTTTGGAAACTGGCTCTCCTCCTTAGTCTGAAGGATGAAACATCTGTGATGTCCAGTCCACTTTGTCAACAGTGGTGTCTGCTGGGTCTTTTAAAGATACGATGTGCTTCCTGTGATCGATTTAGCGTTTTATAAACACGCATTAATGCAGGCGACTGACCCTCTGCTCATCCTGACCTGTTACCTGTTAGCCTGGTTTTCTGTAGTCCCCCTTTCCTCTCTGTCATCCTGTCCCTACTCTTTAACGACCTGCTGCTGCCATCACATTCAAAGTTTTCTTCAAAGGTTTTTAATCCAAACGTCAGCATCGTTGCATTCTGTTTTGTTTGCACTTGACGCAGCATCCTGACTTTTTTGGCTGCTTCTTAGAGCTGACGTGTCCCATCTGTGTCCCTGCAGTATCGTAAAGGCTTTGACAGGACGGTCCTGGAGATCAACACACCTCAGGTGGAGCATCTCCCTCTGCTGGACATCAAGGTGTCAGACTTTGGGGAGAGCAACCAGCAGTTTGGCTTTGAAGTGGGACCTGTCTGTTTCCAAGGCTAAAAACACACCCACACTTCCACACACACCATGCAGAGAACGACACACGCACACACATGCACTTAGAGACACACCTATATATAATAAATAAAGGATAAGCGCCCAGTAATTTGTAAATTATCTTGTAAATGACATGAAACACACACACACACACACACACACCCTCGCAGAAACACACATGTACACGTGCAGATGCTGTTGTGAGGCAAACACACTCGCGTACGCGCCCGGGGAAAGCGACACCCTCCCGGCAACTAATGGACGTCAACAAAAAAAAAAAAAAGCAAAGAGGAGAGAGATGCAGAAACAAAAGAAAAACTGGCGATGAGGAAGAACACCGACTGGGAGCACGACGGACGGAGAAAAACCAGGAGGGAGTTCCTCAGAGTGAAACCTGTTTCCTTCAGCAGCGGCCAGCGCACGGCGTCGGCCTGAGCGAGCCCCAGCCCCCCGCCTCCGATCCCCCTCTCACCCCTCTCTCCCCCCCCGCTGACTTTATTCCACTCATCTTTCCTGCTCTAAACCCTCCATCCCTCCTACTTCCCAAAAAAAAGGGTCACACTCGGACATCTTCCCACTCCTTTAATCCCGCGTTCACTCTGCGAGCGACATGGCCGCCGGTCTGGAGCTGTAGCATCCTCTGTGTGGGTTCACACGACAGGCTTAATCTGCTTTCTTAACCAGAACCGAACCTTCCAGCAGGCCTGAGAGTTCAGCTGCTGAGCGGTCCGGCCATGTTTTCCTGGTTCCCCGGCTGATCAGTCATGTTGTCTCCAGAGTGACACTCATCCCATTTCCCACCACATCAAATGTACCCAAAGAATCAATGCCACCAGTTTCCATCCAGAGAAAAGCAAACAGGGAGCCGCCAGCATCGTTCCAACGGGGGGTTGTTTTGCTCCCTTTTCCATCTCTGACTTCCACAGTGTGTATCTAACCACCTTAAAGTCTTTTTTTTTTTACTGTCTAAATGTTATTTGCAGCTCAAACTGATTAAAAAGATCTGGTGTTGCAGCATCCTTTGTCAGCGTTGGACAGAGATAAGAGAAGTCGATGCACAGGCCAGTGAAAGAGAAGCCATCGTTTCTGAAAGCTGTGCAATCCTTCATGTAGTTGCATGTCACTGGTGCCTTTAAAAAAAAAAAACACCTGAGTAGCTCCCTTTGCTTTTCCCAGCGGTTCCGCTGTACTGACTCAAACTGTGGCGAGGTGCTAATCACACCCAATCCTCCTTCACTCTCATCTCTTTACGACTTCAACGCTTTTTTCTGGGAAAATGTGCATTACATTCCATTTGTACAGAAATAGTGATGTTCTATTGTATTTATTTAAAACAAACAGGGTGCTTTGAGATTTAAAAAAAAAAGAAGATCCAACCAATATTCAGTCAAATGTGGTGTTTCTCAGTTGTATTTATTTGCTGCGGCTCAACCGAAGCGACCGACCTGCGTGTTAGAAGCTCACTGCCAGCCTGAGTGGCGGCGTTTGTGTTCACGCCCTGTCCAAAACCTCCTTTTGTAAAACCAAAGAATCTGTGGCCGTGTCTTATCGTAACATCCCCTCGTAGTGTTTTCATCAACTGTACTGTGCTGTTCAATTTTGCTTCCACTGTAACGATTAAATGGTGACTCTCCAGTGCTGTCACATTTCCTCGTCCTTGCTGATGTGTTCCTGTTTGAGCGCCACTTTCTCTTCTTTTAGTCTAAGGTCTGCGACCACAGCGGGGTCGGAGAAAGCTCGTGAGAGGGAGGGGGCAAAACCTCTCACAGCCCAGCTGGTGGGAAAAGGGATCATTAAAAAAAATGGAGTCGTTTCCGACTAGGGTTCTGGTTTTATTGGTTTGTTTTCTATTTGTTTGTTTTTTTGTTTATATAGCAGGAAACTGGGGTGGGATGGCCAAGATCTAAACCCCCCTAAAAAAAGTTTTTCCTCCAGAGAGAATGACCTCAACTATTTCCCTTACTGTGTTGAAGGCATTTCAACATAAAGATATGGTGCTGAAAAGAGAAAAAAGTATTATTTTATAATGTCTGTAAGTAATTTTTTAAAAATACTTGTTTCAGTAATATATAATCTTTTTAAAAAGAGCTGCTTGACTCTTGTTTTTCTTCTGGACGCCCCTCACTGGAAGCTGTCTTTACTACGAATGACCACAAGGTGTCGCCGTTTTTTCAGATAATGCAGCAAACGCTGGACAGTCATGAGGATGAATCTGCCGTCATCCAGAAAATCTGAAATCAGGATTTATTTGTGTTTGTGTCACATCCTAAAAATGAAATATAGTGTGATGTCTTTGCATTGGAATAATTTTCTTCATTAAACAAAATGCAGCTCACGCAAAGCTTTGAATTCATTTGAAATAAATTGAGATTTTGTTTTAAATTATTGACCTTTTTCTTTTGGTAAAATACTGTTCAGTTATTTTGACGAATCCAACTCTAGTTACTTGAAGAATAATTTGTACTGGTGAAGCATTTAACTATTGACTTAGTTTGCATTGCATGTGTTTTTTATCTCTGGTTTTAATAGCTTTTTATTTGATTGTAGCTACTTGAACCTTTTCATTGGTTGCCTTTATGTTTCTGTGAAACAGCAGCATTTTAATGAGACTTTGAAAATCTCAATTTATCATCAGATTGTTGGATTTGCAGAATGAAAGTCTGTATTATAATTTTGAATGTTGATCATTTCCCTCAATATTTATCAGATGTTTTTAATCTGAGTACAAAGAGAGAAGTGTACCTCTGCTAAATTCTTTTTCTTTTTGTAATGGCAGAAAATGTTCTTTTTAGAGAGCCGATTTGTTTCATTCCTCACCTGGAAGACATGAAAACGATGACTGGGTAAAAACATAGACCGAAACGTTTGTAGCTGTGGATCAGCTGCTCCTAAACAGTGTGTGAGGACAGGGAAGCATTTATTTTATGATCACAAGGAGAGAAATCCACCGTTTTAAGTAAAGCTTTATAGAGTCAGTACTCTCCGAAGAAAACACAAAATTTTGAGTGTTAATAGTTACAAAAAGAGTCCCCACACATTTTAAACAATCATGATCTGAGGGGGAATTATGTTTCACAGTTAATTCTGGACAAACTGGCCTCCTGTTGATGCTCGTCAGGGCTGCTTCAGCCCATGAAAAGTCCACCTGACAAAGACAGAAAGACGAGAAAATGCTGTCGGCCTGAGCTGTGATTCTGCTCTTATTATCGCGGCTCAGAGGGTTTACACTCTACCTGTCACCTCGATGCTGGTCCCTGTGATGTACCGAGAGTCGTCTGAAGCCAGGAATGCACAGACTTCGGCCACCTCTGCAGGAAAGGGAGGAAAAACCACACAAATAATCAGGGAACCACATCCGGAAGCAGGAATTCGCACCAACGAATCTGAGACCGAAACATCTGGACCGACCTGCTGGCTCGCCCATTCTTCCCAAAGGCACCAGCGACTTCATCTGAAACAAGAGACGGAAATGCTCAGGAGCAGATCGCTGCCGGTTTAAGTTACAGAGATGTTCTTCATTCAAGCTGACCAAGGTCAGACCTGAGGTGTCAACCCAGCAGATTTGGTCTGTTATTGTGTTTTTTTTAGCAGTTTGATGAGAAAAGCACCAAAATAGACAACAGAAGGAAAAAATTAAGCATAAACAATGATGAGGGAGTTTCTGGGATGTGGATGCTGTTTTATTCTATTATCATTTCAATAGAACACAAAAATATTTGATAAAGTTGCAGCCTTTTTCAGGCAACAGCATTAATCTTATGCTCTGCGTGTGTGTGTGTGTGTGTGCGTGCGTGCGTGCGTGCGTGCGCGTGCGTGTGTGTGTGTGTGTGTGACAGAGAGAGCTGTACCTTGCTAATAACCTTCTCTGGTACTTTATCCGTCATCGGAGTGGATATGAAACCTGGCAACACGCAGTTACATCGAATCCCAAACCTGGACAGAAAAACCCGACCCGTCAGCTCCGGTCGCCTCTGTGTTTTCGGCCCCGCCCCATTCTTCCCACCTGCTCAGCTCCTTGGCCGCCGTCCTGGTCAAACCCTCCACTCCGGCTTTGGAGGCGGCGTAATTTGCCTGTCCGAGGTTCCCCACCTGCCACCGTCCCCCACACAGACACACACCATCAGCCCTGTGCGCCGGCTCTCTCCTTCATTTCATTACAAAGGCCTCTTTCAGCCCCCGCTCCCACTTTAAACAGACGGCTTTTTTTTTTTTTTTATCAGATTCCCTAAAACCCCAATGAATTAAATCAGCCTTTTGGTGCTAAAGTTTAAAATTAACAATAAGAAACATTCACATTCTCAGTATTCTGTTTTGTGCTCTTCACAAATAGGTCAGTCAGCAGTGGAACGGACTCTTTACTTTCCCTCCACTGATTTTTAGGCTTTAATTCTCTTTAAAAAAGAACACGGCAGACTGAAAAGTTAGCTGAATACAGAAATATGAACGTTTGGGGGTCAAATTCACACTTTGATTAAATATGTCAGATATGACCAAAGGTATCAGTTAATGATTGTTAGATAAAAACAGATAAAAGTTGAGTACCTCAGACTGTACCACTGTACATTCTTCAAATAGGGAAGAAAATAGCTCAGAGTTGAAGACAGTGACTTAAGAACTGACTCAGATCTAATCTGTGTGAGTTAAACTTTAATCTAACGTCTATAGATGGATTTAATAATCTAGTCCGGCCTCCTACCTCACCTTTCCCACAATGCTGCCCAAAGTAACGATGGATCCTTTGGGAGCCCCACAGGCCACCAAAGCCTGGGCCACAGCCTGCGTAACCAGGAATGAACCCTGAGAGGAAAAAAGTTGAAACAGGTTCATAAACCGTTTTATTTACAGCCTTGACCCTCAATTTATATTTTTTGTTATAGTCCTAATATGGAGACAAACACCAGGTTCACTATGTGCGGAATAGGAAAACAGACTGCCTCCCTGTTTTGTGCTTCTTCAGCTCTGTAACTGTGGGGCTAGCAGGGCTGCTACCTTCAGGTTGACCTTGATGACTCTGTCAAACTGCTCCTCCTCCATGCTGAGCAGGAAGTCGTCCTGAGTGATGCCGGCCGCGTGCACACACACAGAGGGCGGCTGGAAGTAACGAGTCTGCAGAGAAACGTGCTTTTTGAGACTAAAGTAAAAACTTCCCAGCAGGATGCTAGCTGTTTTTCACACCTGGATGGTCGTCAGCAGCTGCGTCACGCTCTCCTTGGATGAGACGTCCACCGCGGTGGCAGTGTGAGCCTGGCCCCTGAGGTCATTCTGCAGGCCGGCCACCGTCTCGTGGGCCGACTCCTCGCTGATGTCGGCGACCACCACAGAGGCGCCCTCCGCGGCCAAACGCTGGCACACGGCCCGCCCGATCCCACTGCCTCCCCCTGGGGAGAGAGGAGCCTCAAGTCAGGGAGGAGGGATGTCAACCCCAAATGCTGAACTGGAGAAAAACGGCACCCATCCGTGAACAAATATCTACACAAAGCCATAAAGCAGACAGACTCACTTAATTCAGTTTTTCGTGATCTTTTACTGAAATTATGTAGATCAAAGTGGAAATTCATCAAGCTTGACTTTAAATAAATGAAACTAAGGACACTTTATTGCTCCTTAAAGTCATGCAAAGAAGGTTTCATTGATTGGTTGGGATATTAGTTATTTACTGTGCCTCTGACTTTAAACGTCAGTGAGTTCGTGTGGGATAGGGTCAGGATTACAGCAGCCCTATTCAATCATAACAATAGGCAGGTTAACCAATCAGTTAAGAGGAAACCGAGACATAAATACGAATATCGTGGGATTGTAAAGCCACAAATTCAACAAACATCAACGAATCATCTGCTTCGTCAGAGTGTGCCCTTTACTCTCTAAAAAGCACGAACTTTTTACGTTTACGGAACTTTTTTAAGATGAGTTCAAAGTTCACTTCTCACTAGTTTCTTTATCTGGTTGCATGCTGGTTTAAATGACGATACCTGTGAACAAAACTCCGGTTAAACACAGTTTCCTGTAATCAGAAGCACACTGGCAATATCAGCCATGTAAAATTAGAGATAAACGGCTCAATGAAAACTGACCAGTGACCAGCGTCAACCTTGATATGAGCCTTGTGGCGGCCGCCATGTTGTTTTTAGTGTTATTGTAGTTTCTAGTTTGTTCGCTGAAGGGCGACAAAGGCAAAGAATTCCGTCAAACATTATTTTCGAACTGCGTCCATCCTTAAAGAACCCTCGAAGAAGAATGCAAAGTGAAAAATAAAAAGACGAAGAAGAGATATTGATTCAGCTCTTTAAAAATAAGAAAAAGGTTTAAATAAAAGTATTCCAATTTATTCTAAGTTACTGAGTTATATACAGCTTTAAACACAGCAAAACCAATTCATTTTAAATAGTTTGCTCGTAATATAATCTGTTCGTAACGTCCTGTATTCTCTGTAAGGTGCTGTAACTATTTGAGTGTAGAAAATTAATTAGCAAGGTCAGCAAATACAGTAAAATGTCAGTTACTTCTCTGTTAGAAGAAATAAAGAACAAAATATAGCCGTAAAAAAAAATCCACCGGAAGCTAATTTATTCTGAAATTATAAAATGGGAATGGGTGGTTATTGTTTACGTCTAGCTTGATGTCTGTACTGCAGTGGCCATCATTGACCACATGCCGGCGACCTAACTCTTGATTGGAAACGCAAGGCAGGTTTATTTATTTGTAACTTTTCGTGTGTAAGACATTTCCAAGTGCTTTGAGGTTTTATTTGACCAGCCTTGGAAATTATTTTTCTCTTTGTTTTTGCACATTACTAAACAAGACAACTTTAGCTCTTTCCACTAATACAGGAAGCACCGATATATAAATTATTAAAAGCCCTTCAAATAATATTCATTTTGGAACTACGTCCATGCATAAAGACAAAAACCAAAGAGGTAAATGAACAAAACCTTAAAACTCCTAAAAAGTTTAAAGATGGAAATGAAAATATTTAAATTGATTCAAAGTTCCACAGTTTATCCAGCTCTAAACACAGCAAAACTAATTCTTTGATTACTTTGCTCATAATAGTTTCTGTTCCTAACGTTCTGTATTCTCTTTGGAGGTGCTGTAAATTCTTTGGAGTGTACAAAATCATTTAACCTGGAAATGAAATTTCCCCAGTCAGTGAAAACATGAACACGTGTCTTTATTTATGTACAGATGTTCAGAGGCATTTAGACCTCTGCCACACATCAGGACACAGACCAACATCTGGAGCTCTGAAAGTAAAACTGGAGACGAGACTCAAAAGAAATCTAAACTAGTGGAAAAACACTCGCAGGCCGAGACTGTCAAATATGTACACCTCTTCAATCCTGGTGGTCAATCCGTGCACATTTCAGACGTTTGCTGAAAGCATTCAGAAATCAAACGAGCCTTTAACCTTAAATAAATAAGTTAATCGGCCGATAAAGCCACAAACAAAACCCACTACAGGTTTAGTAGTACCACCCACACAGACAGTGCATCATTACTACATTTAAATGCTCTCTGCTGGCGAACTGCTCCCACCGGCCACAGCAGGTGGTCCAAAAGCCGCTGACTCCAAGAAGAAAACAGAAAACACACTAAAAATCAAACGCAAACCTCCAGCTGCCACAGATCTTAAAGGCCTCGAAAGATTTTAATTAAGCGGCAGACTGGAACTGTCTCCTGCCCGAATCCAGAGGGCGGAAGAGTCCAGGTGTTTGAGCACAGAGGAAATCAAAACAACTGAGATGTGGTTTGGGCACAGGTGAGCGGACAAGACGCGTCCTCACAATTTAATCTGCAGATTGGTCACATGTAAAAAAAAAAGAAAAGAAAAAAAAAGACATTTATAGAAAAGCTGGATGGCAAAAAAAACAAATGTGGGGACAGAAATGTCTGGGTAGAAACAGGTTTCTGTACAGACTCGGGGAGAATTGCATGCGGTTTGTTTTCTAACCAAGGTGCTTCTGCGTGCAGAGATCAGCGCCGCGTCAAACTATGAGGGAACGCACAGGGAGGTCACACTCACACATGCAGACACACATTCACACACACACAGACACTTTCTTGATCACACCAGAAAAAAAAAAAAGAAAAAAAACACAGAAAAACTAACAACTCTGCCCACACCAGCTCAGGTTCCCCAGAAAGAGGGAATAAATTAGCTCCATAAAATGCTTCTTTATAAAAGAAAAATAGATATTTATGTAACTGTACATCTTATCTATACAGCATAAAGACAGAGAGCATGTAAAGAAGGGAAAAATCTCCAGAAATGAGAGCGATTCTGGCAGTAGCACCCTTATCCCTCCAACATATGCATCGGTCTTTGTTAGCAGGAGATGGAGCTCCCCCGGCCCCACCAGGACCGCCTCCCCCTCTCATCCAGCTTCGTCCTGGACTGGACCAACGAGCCCAGCTCGGGGACAGCTCCATCTCTCTTTCCGGCTCCGGCGAGGCGAGTCGGACCAGTAGTGCTGGCTCTGCTCGTCCGGTTGGCTCTGCAGCTCCATTGTCAGTAGCTCTGCAACGGTCCGGCCCACTCTGGGGGGGGGGGAGGGACCGGGGCTCACGCGCCCTCTCACAGGGAAACGGCCTCTCAGCCAGAGTCCGAGTCACTTGTGTCTGAGGAGGAGGACGAGGAGGAGGATGACGAGGAGTCCGAGGAGGAGCTGCTGGCGCTGAGGCGGGACGGCTGCGTGTGCGTCTCCGACGCCGCTTTCTCAGCTGTGGGGAACAGGAAGTGACATGAAGCACGCCCACCCACACACACACACACTCACATTCACTCCAAGGCTTCCCGCAGGACTCACGTTTGGTCTTTGGGGGCTTCTTCCCAGAGTTCAGCTGGCCGCTGACGTCCATCAGCCTCCTCTCCAGCTCCAGCTGCTTCTCCAGAGCCAGCTCCTCCCTGGACTTCCCCGCGCTGTTCTTGCTGGCCGCTTCAGACACAAACAGAGCGGGTTTGAGCGCTGGCGGGCGGCAGACTACTGGCCTTTGCCGCAGGCCTGCAGGCCATCAGGGCTAACTTACCGTAGGGCTTGCGGGGCTTCTTCCTCAGACAGGTCATGACGTATCTCTCCAGCTCCCTCAGGGTGGACGGCTTCAGCGTCTCGAAGTCGATCTCGATCTCCTCGGGGTTGGTGTCGCGCAGCGAGGGCTCGCGGGACTGGATGATGTACACCACGCGGCCCAGCTTCTCGCCGGGCAGCTTGTTGATGTCCAGGCTGAGCTGCCGCTTCTCGTCGTACGACATGGGCGCCGTGTCCTCCTCTTCGTCCGAGTCGAAGTGGCTGACGATGGGGTCGTGCATGGTCTGCGGCATGTTGAACGTCATGCCGGCCTTTTTGGATCTGAAAAAGGATCGGAGCAGAGAGAGCACCGTCAGAGCGGTGAACAGCCAGCTCCCACGCCCACCAGCAGGGGGCAGCACTCACTTGCTCTTGCTGTTCTTCTTGCTGGGCGCCTTCTTCACAGGCACCACGGGACAGCCCACCCCTCTGCTGCTCTTGGGTTTGGGAGTCTTGGCGATTTTGGGGGTTTTGGGCGGTTTGACGGAGGGCAACTCTTCTTCTATCCTCCGATGCTTCTCTTTTTCCACCTTTTTCTTCTTTTTCTTGTCTTTTTTCTCTTTCTTCTTCTTGGGTTTGACGATGGGGCCTTGCGAGAGAGCCGTGAGCTGCTCGTGCACTGCTTTGAGCTGAAAGAGAGACAAGCTGAGTGAGTTCGGAGTCGGTTTCCCGCCTTTGGAGGTGCGTGGGGGCTGGAGGAGGACCGACCTGCTCCTGCAGCTCCGCCAGCCGGTTGGCGCGCTCCTCCTCAGAGTCGGAGCTCGGGCTGCTCTCGCTCTCCTCACTTTCGCTGCTCAGCTCGCTCTCGGAAGAGGAAGACGAGGAGGAGGAGGACGATGAGGAGCTGGGTGGGGCTGGAGGCTCGTCCGGCATCTTGGCGAAGCAGAACTCAAAGACGTCCTGGGGGAGGAAGACTGAGTGAGTGGGAGCTCAGACACAACAGTGGGGGGAGGGGGTTCGCTGTGACCGAAAACAGTACCTGCAGTTTCCGGGCCATGGCCACCACGTCGTGGTCGGGGGGGTTGTACTTGTAGCAGTTGGAGAACATCAGCCGGACGTCTGCGGAGAACTGCTGTGAGTCGCGATACTCCCGGCTGTCCATCTTCCTCTGAGGAGAACAACACAACCCTTCAGACCAAGGCGCCCTCTGACCAGCTCCCATCGCCTCCTGCCACCAGCCGGCCCACCCGCCAGCGGTACCTTGATGGTGCTGAGGTCCATGGGCTGCTTGATGATGTCGTGGTAGTCGTGCAGGCCGAGCGTGGCGGCGTCCACGGGCTTGTAGAAGGGCCAGGCGTAAGCGGCGTGCTTCTTGGACAGCAGCTCCTTCAGCACGCCGCTGCAGTAGCGCAGCTGCGGGCTCAGCTTGCTGCGCCGCACCGGCGTGGGCAGGATGGAGTCCGGCAGGTCCTTCTTCGGGGGCTTGATGGGCCGCCCGCTCACCCCCCTCCTGCTGGCCGCCGTGGCCTTGGTGCCCATCATCATGGCCCCGCTGCCCATGCCCATGCCCAGGCCCATGCCCAGGCCCGGGCTGAGGCCCAGAGCCTGGCTCATCCCCAGGCTGCTGCTGTGCTCCATCCCCAGGGAGGTGAGCGTCAGCGGGGAGTTGTGCCCCCCGCCCATCCCCAGGCCGATGCCGCTGACCCCCATGGTGCTCATAATGGGCATGGCGACTGTGGTCGGGGTGGTTGTGTCCGCTTTCCGCTTCACGCCTTTTTTCTGTGAAAACAGAGTCAGAGAGCTTCATCCGTCTTCAGTTCGGTTCAAAAACCTCGACCTCGGGCTCCGCTGTGGCTGTGCGTTACCTTAGCAGTGGGCTGTGTGGGGGGCAGGCCTGTGATGGGCGGGAGGCTCTGCTCAGTGGGGAGGGAGGGGGTAAGGCTCTTGGTCAGAATTGTCTGTGGGGGTGTAGAGAGAATGGAGTCGGGTGTCTCCGGGGTGGGAGGGGAGTAGGCCGACTGGGAGACGGCTGGAACTTGATGAGCAGTCGTCACACCTCCCGACACTTAAGACACAAAAATAAAGAGTTGATGATTCACACGCAAGACTACCAGATTAAATCAGACTTTTAGACATCTGTGCCTGCAGGGTTGATTTGAACTCACCTGCATTATTTCGGCCCTTTTTGCCAGGCTTGATCTGTTTGCTCCGTGGTGGGGGGGGTGGCAGCTCCAGCTCCTCCTGGGGCATCTGAGCCACCTTCTGCAGGAAGGCCTTCTCCAGAGACTGCGCCATCAGGACGATGTCATCTGTGGGCTGCAGATGAACACGGGCCATTTAGACCAATAACAGACACTTCAGAGAGCCGATTCCCACCGGGAATAGAACTGACTTTTCCTTTAGAGCTGCTCTCCTTTCCTGCTAGCGACTGATCATTCAGGCCTGGCTCACCTTATTATAAATGTAGCAATTGGTGAACATGGTGTTGAAGTCCTGCATGCACTCGCTGGCGCTGCGGTAGTAGTTATTCTCCAACCTCTTCTTGATGCTGCCCATGTCCATGGGATTCTTAATGATCTTGTGATAGTCCTGATGCACAAAGAGTCAGAGTTAGGCTCACTTGAAACTGTGCTAGTTTTTGTCTCGTTCTTTAATCTTGAGCCTGAACATTTGGCTTCTAGGAGCGGATTGGCGGTCCACAGCAGAACATGGGATAAATTACCCTTTCCTATCATACTCACAGGCAGGCTGAGCTTAACCGCATCGACAGGTTCATGGAAAGGCCAAGCAAAGTGGTGCCTCCACAGAGACTTGAGCACCACCTTCTGTAGAAACTGGAGCTGGTTGGTCATCCTCCCCAGTCGGCTGGGGTCTTTCACCAGAGGCTGGGGGGGTCCCGAAGGGACAATCTGATTGAGAGGGGGCATCCCGTGACTCTCAAAGTCCTCATACAGCAGCGAAGGTTTCCTGATGCGCTTTCCAGCTGTGCCAGATGTGTGGTCCATGGTGACTCCCATCAGGCTGACCTCAACCCCAGAAAGAGAGCTGTGGGGCACACAGTTAAGAACCAATGAACAATGTGCTCTTTCCAAAACTGCCACGACCACCTCAAAAATTGTATTTATGAGTTGTGTATTCTTTTCTCACCGCAACTGAAACCGCACTACATCTCACTAAGATGTCAAACTACAGTTTAACTATAGTAAAATACAACATGGACACAATTTGAGTTTCCCAATCAATTAATCTGCAGCAAAGACACTTCAGCTAAATGCTCATAGTTAATAAAAAAACATTAATCACCGCACCGAGCATGCACACGCGTACAGTTCAACCTAAATCCCGATCACACGACAGTCACATTCTATACGTCCCAGCCGCCATGCAGCTTTTGGAGTTAATTTAAGACAAATCAGCACTCCCACCCCAGGAAGAAAAAGCATTACAATAACTTCCTCCCCTCACCAGTTTACAGCACTGAATTAAAACTCCACCCCCGCCTGTGTGGAAAAATCCCCTTAAGCTTTGTGGGTGGAGTCTCAGCTGGTCTGCAAGTTTTCCCATCAGAAAGCATGCCTCTACATAGAACAAAAACCAAGTCCTTCACTTTTTAATAGGGTACGCACTCTGTACAGAAACTTGGCTTGTTATACATACAAGCATATATGACCCATCTTACGCACTTCTAGTTCTGAGCTCTAAAAAGGACTTTACTGTGGAGAAAAGGTTTTGTGGTCAACAACTTAATCTGCAGTCTGTAAACAGGAAAAATGACACGGGTGACAATGCGTTTAGACCATTTAGCTGTGCTAATCTGCAGCTGGAAAAACTCAAATCATACATGACCATTGTGACATTAACAAATATTCATCGAACGCAGGCGACCCCATTACGGAATAAGAACAACCTGTGTTAAATTTAGTGAATATAATGCAATTGTGGGAAAATATACTTTTGGTGCTTTTGTCCAATCTCACCATCAACTGTCCACACTCACCATATCCATCCAATGACACGGGTCAGCTGCTGGAAAACAGTTCTACTGCTGCCTTCTGTTTTTATTGATATGTGTTCATTTGTTTACCTGCATAGCTACTTTACATAAGTGACACACCACAGAATCCCAACAAGTGGTTTACGGTAAATTTACAGCACAATTCTCAAAATCTGGTCACCTTGAATGATACAACTTTTGGAAACTCATTTGACAGTTAGTGTACTTTATTATTAAAAAAGGAAAATAATCATTTACATAAAAAGAAAGTAACAAAAATGTTAGCTCAAAAATAAAAAAGTGACAGATTTGGCAAGTTTAATTTATGAGGCTCCAGTGGTCCAACAATAAAAAAGGTTTAGGGAACAATAAAAACTTAAAGAGATACATTCATAAAAGCCTCAACTTAAACGAGGCGGCGCACTGTGTGACACTGTAACCAGGCAACGACTGAAACACAAGACCCCAACAGCAACGTTCCGTCTCAAAAGTCATGTCGATTATTTTGTCATTACTATTATGTTTTACTGTGGTACAGTATTTTAATGAATACAAGTCACAGCTGATAACAGCAACTTAATTTGTAGCTCTGGGATTGTAGCATGTTGTTGCATCGGTGATCAAAACAATCCCTGACCGCCACATGGCTAACACAACAAACCGGCCTTCTAACGGCAGGAGGTTTACTTCTCTGGCACCGCTGTCCATTCTGGCTCAGAAACGTTTAACTGCGGACTATTTACATAAAAAACACACAGAATGCTACTGATAATGTTAGCATTCTTACGTGCCTGCATCGTTGTCCTGTCATTTCATAAGGCGCATTAATTTTCGTCCCACCGCTCAAAGACGGGCTCGTTCGTCCTTTAACAGTTGGTTCAAGGCTAATGCTAAAAATGCTAACACCAACTACCGAGCCGAAGGAAAGCGGCCAACGGCAGGGGCGCCCCGAAGATGGCGCCGGCACGGTGCGACCAGCAGTCGCAGCTTGCTTGAACTCATTAATTCTCCAGTCTATCGACATATAAAACACTTTTCACGGCTTTATGTACGCGAACTTATTCTTGTGGTATATCCAGAGTCCATTTCTCACTTCCATATGTATAACAGCGAACAATGCTGTCAGTGCCGATATAACGAAAATTAATTACGAGAACTGATAAATATTCCCTTTGATGGAAAGCTGAGAGTCAATTTTACCAGTAGATACCTGTCAAGGGGCGAGTTAACAGCCATATCCATCAGGATGGATCCGGATTCTGTTTAAGAAAGATTCAAAACCAGGATCCGTCTCCGGTCGTCAGTGTTCTCCGCTCCCCGCCACAACGAAGTCCTAGCGCTTAACTTCGTTGAAATGGCGACTGAGCGACTACACCCGTGTTTTTATAGACCAACCATTCTCGTGATTGGATAGACTAGGTCTGAAGTCTCCACCCACTAACTATGTATTCGCTGCAAGCGACGTCTGTCATAGTCACCACACCCATTTAACTGCAAGGCTCCGCGGACAACCCTCAAGACCAGCCTATACGCATATTTTTTGCCGTCAGTCAAAGATGTTGCTCAATACTATTGGCCAGCCGACTCGACGTTACACATGTGCTGCCTGTAACTGGCTCCCGCATAAAATTCTTCACAGAAACTGAGAACAACGAAGCCAGCCTACTATACTCGATCATATTATATTACGTCAACGTGTGCCAGGCAGCGACGGGGATTGGTCAGAACAACTGTAACGCGGGCTTCCATTCTAAATACCAAGAAGCCTATTGGTCCTTCCGCTCAGTCACGCGTACCCCCCGAAGAGAGCCTCTCCCTCACGAGCTCCACTTACAGAATATCCGCATTTCTTTCTTCTAGAAAACGCGCCCAGGCGCCATCTTTGAGCAACCGGATAAAGGGAGTTTAAATCGATTTTTACACAATACGGTTACCGCAAACGACACAAGACATGCACTAGTGCATTAGTTGAGGACTTTAAAATAAATAAAAAACAAGACCGCCTGAACTTGTACGAATCAAGGACTTTTAGACACCCATGAAAACAAGGCCCCATGGCCCACAAACCGGTAGGTGTGTATAAAAAAAACTTGTTCAGGCCTATGGTTCGATCTAACTTGCCTATAACCAAACCAACATATTACAGTTTAAGATGGCCAACATTTAGCTATATTCAAACAATAAAAACGCCACACTGGCACGGTGTACCCATTGACTGTCCACTGAATGACACAGCAGTTTCCCTCTCTGACCTCAGCCTACATTCAAAGTAGACTCACAAACCAAGAAATACTAAATCGCTATTGCGATTTGATTTTCAGACAAAGGAGTTAACACATAGTTAACAGGAGATCCTGAAATATTCTTTTACCACACCTGCTCTTTTACAGTTTACACAAACTCTATTACCCATTTATCAAATGTCAAATACTGCACATACCTAGAATTGGTAATACAAAAATTAACTATAGAAAAACAACTTAAACTAATCCAACAACCGCACAACATGGTTACCTAACCAGTTTCGCCCATCCCCCACACCAAGGTTACAAGTGCCCCACAATGTCACTCAAATAAACGATTACAACCAAAGACTCAGGCCACGCAATATCAAATTCAACGGAAATTTTGGCACAATTGCTGCTGATAAAATTAACCTAAGTAAAGTACAATTCACATTTTAAAAAGTTAATATTGTCTAAACAAAAGGAAAACTAACATAATTGAATTCAACGTTAAAAAAAAGGAAGTCTTCGGTTGTAAATTCCAAAAATAATGCGAAACCTTTCTTCCAATAATCTTCTTGTCTTCCACCTCGACACTTTTTAACCAACACATTTCCCTCAAACATGTCCGCCTTCTTCCCCGATTGCCTGTGCCGGGTGGGGGAGGGGAGTCATGTGATGAAATAAGCCTTAACGTACAGTTCAAAACCTGAACACGTGGCACTTCTGAAAGCCCGCGATGAAACGTATCCACAACTCGTACTTCCCTATGTCCTCATCTCCACGTCCATATCAGCAGATTCATAGAGGTTTGGGATCCATATTTGAGGATTAAGTTGGCAAAACATCCGAACAAAGAGAATACTTTTCCGTTGGACTTGGCTTTTTCCCATTGGCCAGGTCTTAACACGTGACAAAACACTTTAATAGTATCGATTGCTCTACTTCCAAATTTTCTTCTGTAAGTATCCAAATTTGAAGGCAACATTCCTTCTCGGGTAATTTATCTTTTTGTTGAGTTTGTCTCAAACACAAAAAAACGTAAATGTTCTCCTGCTGACGGTTGCTGTTGAATTGCCCGTCTTGCAACAACAAGCACTGCGCATGCGTAAAATGAAGGAAGACGGGTTACCAAAAATGCACTAGAGAAGAAGAGGCTGATCCATAAGCGTTTTTTTTCCACACGTGAAATGTTCATGCATTCCTGCAGTTTATGGGAATGAGGCGGGATTCAGTCACAAGAGAGCCGGTTTAGGGTTTCAAATTAAAACAGGAAGGAGTGACAATCCATCCTGTATCTTTGAATTTCTCTGGGTTATCATCTGAAGCATCCATTTGAACACTAACGGGTAAAGATAGCATGTAAATATCGGCAATCTCCATCAACAGTTAATTATTTCTTTTTTGCAAATAAATGTTATTTTAAGGATTATTTGTGGTTCCCTTAGTTATCAAATTGAAAGTGGTTTCCATTCCATCTCAGTAAGATGGTAGTGTCAATATTAGTTTGTCAGAGGCTTAGTTAGTTCAGTTATCTTGCCTATTGAAATCATTATAATCGTCTTTATAGAATCATCCCAGAGACCTCTTTGTATTTTACATTTTAATTTACATGAAATATACTGGATAGACTTAAGTGGAACAAATTGACTCAATTTTTACTTTGTTTGGTTGGAGAGGCATGTTAAATCAGTTTCAACAGTGCATGGGGAAAACTGCATTTATTAATTTTTCAATGGAAATTCTTTTTTATTGTTGTTACCGTTGTCTTTAAGGGTTTTGCAAGCTGTTGATTGGATTTATGGACAAACATGCATATTTTAGTTGTCTGAGTGATCTCTATTGTACCGAAAATTGAAAAATGAAAGTTTTCAAGGTGAGCCAGACTGCTGTTGTCTGACAATGCACTAGTTTGGGATAAAATGGTACATCACATTTCTCAACACACATTGCCAATATATCTGTGTATATCTTGAACTGCATTGTCAAAATATTGTAATATTTCATATTGTGGAAATTGACATTGTATATTTAGATCAGTTCTGTAAATTCAGTGTCTTATTTTTTATGAATCACTAGATTCATTTTCCATCTGAAACATGAGTTGTTGTATCTCCAAAGATTATTTTTAAAGATATACACTCACACTGAAAATGAAACAGAAGACCTGAAAGTAAAAGTATTTTACAGGTGAAAGGTGGGATAAGTTATTCATTTCCAGAAACAGAAAACTCCATGGATATCGGTTTAGCAAAATATTCCTTTCTTCTTTTAAACACAATCTTTATTCAACCAGAAAATAGAATATGATTAATAAAACTTTTTTTTTTTTAAAGAGTTTGTGTATAGGAGGGTTTGTTTGTTTTTTGCAACGAAAAGAGTTCCTGGATCTTATAGAGAAGCAAGCTGTAACTGGAGTCCCAGCAGCAGCCGTGCAGGCAGTGGGGCTGTAGCAAGGGAGGGGCTGGAGGATTACATCAGAATCAGCCTCCTCTGACTCATCAGCAGCGCTCTCATTCTCACTTTGTGACACAAACACACATCCCCCCTCTGTTTCCCCCTTCTGTTTTTCTCAGCGTCTGGCTGCATCATCGAGTCACATGATGACAGCCGGCCCAGAAACAGTTGCCAGAGAAGCGCTGTCCTTAACAACGTCTCAGTCCTGAGTCACAGGTTCACAGATCAGTGCTTCCCGGTTCAGTGTTGACTCCAGGATCGCCTACTGTTCCATCCTGTTTGCACAGACCTGCTGCCAGAATTAGACTGCGGCAGAGTAAATCATTTGTAAGTGATGTGCTTTTTAAGCTTGTTTCTTTCATTAAGCTACTGAAAAGCTTTCCATCGAAACAGCAGGTACTGTGGAAGTGGGGCTTGGATGCAGAAGCACATTGTGTATCCTTTTGAGTATTCGCGTTTTACACACATATCATTTTCTCTCTCATAAATTTTCTCACAGTCGAGAAACAGTTGATGCAATTATATTTTTTATTTATGGAATCACAGTGACTTAAAAGTGCTGAACCTTCTGTTCAGAGCTATTTTTCCATGTGTTTTGTTGCATGACAGTTTGCTTCCCTCTGCTTGTGTCCAAAAACTTCAAAAATTCCTAGCATGTAGTACTGATTATTCTCCTTTTTCCCAATCATAATGATAATCACAATTTAACTTTACTGCACGCATTATTAGCTAAAGGCATGCTGTTTCATGCCAGATAAGAACAACCTTGTACTATTGTGACATAAGAATAAAAAAACATGCATTTCTTTGGGATTTTATCGGGAACATTTTGGCAACCAATCCCATAAACCGTTTTTCAATGTGAGTAACTGTATTTGCGGCTCATTTTAAGATCTGTGATAGCTGTCAGCTTTAATGTGAATATACAATAGCATTATATTTTGATTAAAGCAAATTTCCCCTTGAATGTTAAAAATGAAGACCACGTGGAATGTATCTTTATCTCAGACACCATAGATCTGAGTAGGTATAAAAACAACAGCTGCCTAGTCAGTAATGGAAAGTGAACTGTAAATGTGTGCACCCAAGTGGAAAGTATTAATTACACTCTTAAGAAATAGACCAGGAAGTGTGAGGGGAGCCATTTCCATCTCAATCACAGGGGACATTTGCTTTCAGGAGGTGGCCCTGGATCATTAACAAAAAAGAGCAAAACAACACACTGACAGAGCTGCCAGTGAAGTATTGGGTACATTTAATTAGTTTCTTGAAATATTCCCAGGTTGATTTTTCTTTACACAAAACTTTTTACCTCACAAGCCAGCTGCTGGACCGGGGACACTGTGCTGGCACAGACAGAATCAAGAACGATGATCACTAACAAGAAATGAGATTAGGATTAAGATGCTTTCTAATCCTTTGTGAGTAATCTCTTTGAACACATCTCTAAGACTGCCTTTTTTTTTAGAATTCTACAATAATGTTTACAATTTTCATTCAAAGTACAGAAAAGAAAAACTAAAAAAGACCAAAAAGAATCTAAAGTCTTCCTTTAAAAATCAAATTGTAAGGATTGTACATGATGTGCTTTTACCAACTGGCTAACTATAAAGTAGATTTGGAAAGGTCGGTGTGGCATATTGACATATTTGTTGTATGTTATATAAAACAAAAAACTCAATAAAATTTGCATTATTAAAAAAAAGGAATTGTAGAGAGAGCAATTGATCTAATTTGAAGTTATTCAAACAACTGATCACAGGTTTGAAGGTCTGGATGGTTTCCCATCGCTGCCAGTTCACCTTTAGATGTGCAATGGGACACCATAAGAAAGCTTCTCTCACTGGTAGAAAAGATCCTCACAACAGGCTGATTAATTCATGTTAACTTTTGACTTATAACTAGATCCAAGTGGACAGGCCAAGCTATGCACATCTAATTTATGTTTTGTTTAATTTTGTTTCTAGTTTAATTTGTTTCAGTCAGTTTCTTTAATCCATCCTGCTTCGTTCCAGAGATGTTGGTTTAATAATCCATCTATTAATAACATAATTAATACAAATGTATCTAGATAAAGTGTTTTATCTCCTTATTGAAAAAATAAAGGTTTAAATTAACCACATTTATTCATGGACCTTCTTTTCTTTCTGAGAAAACAACAAATAACTAAAAGAAAACAAGGCAATATTTATTTACCAAAAATACCTAATGTCAGTATTCTTATTACATAATATATAAGTGAGTTTATTATCATAAATTTGATACGTTTATACTGTAAGGGGATTTGAACCCTGTTGTTCTGAACATAAAACAGGATGTCAGTCATAAAAGGTGATGCAGCCGTCTTTTCTGGATGGATGACTTTAAGCCAGAATCTAAAGCAGGTGCACACACTGAGCTCCCACAGCTTTTGATTGGATCAGGATTAAGAAGACAGTATTAAAAACTGCTTCCCAGAAGAAAGATTATGGCAAACCTTGTCTGCTTTTTCAAATAGCTTTTATTTAAGGAGGAAATTGTGAGGGAAAAGAATCAGTCTGAATGTGTACCTGCATGAGGAAAAAAACTTCTTGGAACGGCTCTAAGAAAACAAAGTAGCATATTTTTAAACATCTCATTCTATCATGAGAAAGCAAGAAGGGGAAAATGATTTGCGTGAGGACCTTCAACTGTGATTTGGATGATAGAATGCCACCTATTGGTCAGTCTGTGTCACTACGTTTCAGAGTGTTGAAATATTTGTGTTGTATTACCATCCGGTGGCCACTGAGTTGAACTCAAAAAGAAGAAACGTCAGCATTTTTCCCATTTATGCCTCATCATGCTCAACTGCTACACTTAGTGCTTCTGGTTCTTATGTTATATCCCTGTTAGATACATTGAACACTCTATCCTGGGGCAATAAAACTAATACTAACTTGGTTTTATAATAACTTTTATTATTTCAGCTCTTTGAAACCACCTTTTAGTCCCATCTTTCATGTTGAAATGTACATTACTAAACGTATTAACATCTTGAGCAGAAGCAGTCTAATTGTTATTTCTGAGGATTTTGTTTGCATGTTGTTCAAGAACATCAAATCAAAGTTAATTTTAACAATTTAGTACAACATGTAAAAGAGTGTGGCACACTTTTTAAAAACCCAACCATCCGTTTTCTATACAAACTTAATCCAATTCACAGTCATGGGTCATGGTTATTTCTTGGCCTGAACTAATTTGCTGCCTCTGCACTAGCAGTTTAGGTAGTACCCTCTTTTCCTGAGGAAAATAGGGTCCTACCTAAAGTGCTACCTAAAGTGGCCTGAGGGGCCTTTTGGAGAGTCTTTAGCCCTTTTCTCAATTAAACCTAAAAGCGACCAAGATGACTACGTGAGATTGGAATTTGTCAGTAAAAATTGATTAAGTATTTCTTTTGCAATTATTCAATTCCTCCATGTGGGGGCATACAAGATCTATCTTTTATTCTTTTCACCAGGGCCAAGACAGCCTGCCAGGCCTAAGACAGTCACCGATCAACCTGTTGAAGGTCCTGTACATAAAACTCACATATTTCAACATCAGCCTCTCAGTTTAATTGCCTTTGAAAAATATACTTAGTGGGATCAGAAGATTTCTGCAGAGCATCTAAAATAAAAGGCTTTGTTAGATAGAAAGTATGTGTGTTGAACCACACGAACTGAGATACCCATCTGCCTCAGTTTCAGTGGGTTTTATGCTTTGATGAACTTGTGGCTTTGGTTTTCTGTGGATGTGTTTGCATCCCTCCCCCAGCAACCAAAGCCTGTAATATACAAAGGACTGAAAACACAGTTACATTTCAATGCTGCTTCTAACCACATCTTGTTGTGGCTCATGTGTAATTGCTCTCACTGGGTGTCAGTCAAGAGCCACTATTCAACCTTGTGCAGCAGCTTTTGAGAATCCCCTAAAGATCACCAATCTGCCAGCCTCAGGACTTCCAGTAAATCACATGACTTTTGATAAAAGAGCCAAACGGCCGGCTGTGGCGCTGTGGCTCCCACAGAGCTGGGATCTTTGATATGATAGTTAGGTTTCTGTTTTTCCAGTTTTGCCACCCAAGCCTCTGTGAATAAACCTTTGTGCCCTCCCCCGTCTGATCATGCCTTGTGTGTTTGATTGGAGGTTTTTTTTTAACCCTATCACTGTGTTAAAGCACACATAAAGTGTGATGTAACTGTGGTAAAAGCCGTAATTCTCTTTCTCCCCAGGGGAAATTAGGGGATTCACAAATAGAGTGTGGGAGTTTACCGGCCTATAAAAACATACAAACCCTTCACAGTGAAGATTTTTAGTTAATATAACATCATACAGTACAGTGTATAAACATATCTCATCTTGTGGCCAAGCTGCTGTATTAGGAGATCATAGTTGTGTGTCTATTCGATTCAGCTCAATCTCAAGTTTCAAAGTGTGCCGAACAAAATGAGCTGAGGTGTTGAAATGAAGCTGCATCGGCCTCAGTTCTGTTGTGCTTGGTGCTGCAACACTTCCTTTACTACTTTTGATTTTAAAATGAGCAAGATGGCAGTTATCATATATCTGCAAAGCTAATTTGTCAAATGACTGTCAAGCTGTTTTCTTTTCCTGAGGATTAATCAGCAGAGTCCAACAGTCCTCAGTGGCTGCAGTTCTATTGTATATCTATTTGTGTTGTACAAGCAGCTGAAGTATTTCTAAAGCAGAAATTAATTAATAAACACGCAGTAGGCTTGAAATGATGAAGAACTGGTATTGCTTGTGTGCTCGTTTGACTCGTTACCGGAAACAAACAAAAGAGAGAAGACACAGCAGCATTTTAGTTATGATACCAGCTTAAAGGCCAGATTAATGCAAAGTTTAGTGTTTGTTCATCACAATAAAGCAGCTCCTTATTAAAAAGTCTGTTAAATAATTAGAATGCAAAAAGTAAATATGCAAGTTTTCCCATTTAAAAGGAGTTTTTGACAATTAGTGGTTCGGTAAATTGAACACTAAAGGATTTTGCTGTATACTATCAGGTTACACAGAGTTCAGCTGAGGTAAAAGAGTCATGTGATCTTTGAAAGAGCTGTAATATGCTGCTATCTCAAAGAGTCGTTTGAAACAGCAGACGGTTTAAAGCTGAAATGGATAGTACACAAATAGGTTATTTAGAGGCATCATAAGGAGTCCTTCCGGCTGTGCTGTTATTTTCCCTTAACAGTGAAGCTTATTGTCATCGTTTTGCTTCCAGTATACAACTACAGTGGTTCTCAGGTGACTGGAAATGCAAATGTTCTTTTATGGACTTCAAAATACACCTAAAAGTGAAAGAAAGTCATATGAAAAACCATGATGTTTCTGTCACAAGACCTCGGGCGTGTCAAAGCTTTGGCTTGGTTAGGCAGCAGCTCTTTACACAACATGGTGAAGACAGAAAGTGAAAGATAGAGGTGGGGGTTTTCCAGCCTGGCAGTATGGTGCAGAATTGGTTGCGTAGCAGCATTACAGAACATAAATAAATTTGAAGGCTTCACATTGACCCAAAGATGCTTCTCTAACACACGCTCATTAGATGAGGAACAAAAAAACATTAATTTTTTTTTTTTTAAAGCATACCTCCAGATTTTCTACTTTTCTACTTATCAGCCATTTTGTGATTGTTATTTGAGAGCGTAATCCTAACATGGCGGCTTCTGCAACACTTTGTGCCATCCTGCCCAACCCGCAGGTGGCACAGCAATACTGCTGGGAATCAGCCAAGTTTAACCCTACAAAGCCTGATCCCGGAAAAAGTACATGGAATACATAAGTCTTTATTTGGCGCTTCAACTAAATGTGGAAAAAAATGAGCAGAAATAATTTTTCATCATTAATGATTGTCGTATAGTCCTCTCATGGGTGGGGTGGGGGTTAGTATAGTGGTGAATGTCCCCGCCTTTCACATGGGTTCAACTCCCTGGTGGAAAGATATACATGTATACCTTTGGAAAAAATCATCCAGTATAAACACTAAGTGATGCAAATGATTTAAAAAAACGTGTGTATCAGATGTGATACATGTGGCATTATAAAGTTAAAGAAAACTCATTGTCCCTGTCGGAATCTGGTATTTCCTCCCTGAAGGATTTTTAATAACCCCTAAAAAGATTTCCTTTGTGTGATCAAAACATAATTCATCATATCATACCTACAAAGATTTTGACATTTTCATCTTAGTGGACAATGTGATCCTTCCATTAAAGCTTAAATGTTAATATGACCAAACCCAAAGTTAGGAAAATAATAGAGGCAAAGTGTGTGGCATTCTAAGGTTGACAATTTAAACGTACCACATTCATTTAGTGTTGTCATGAGAATAACTTGCTGTACAAATCACTCAAATAACTGTGCTGTGCATCGGCTTTCATTACTAACAGTCCAAGTAAAGTCTTCTGTTAATTGAACAGGAAAAATAAAACATATGAATAAACCCCATCCAGGACAAAGTGGATAAGATTTAGAAATCATATAGTTATCGTAATAATTGAGCGACAGATGCCTATCCTTTTTACAACAAGTTTCCTTTGTGTGTTTGGCAGTGTGGTACAGAAAAGGTTTGGCAAAACACAAAACATATGCAAATCCTTAGGCATATGTACAATGTCCAGCCAGTTTCACCTATCTGCATCAAGGCTGAGGCCATTAGATCATATTTAAAGTGGCATACCTCCATATTTCCTCCTTTTTTATTAACTTAATCAGCCATTTTTTTCTAAATGAAAAAAACAAACTCACTTGCATAACTCACGACCTGCGGGTATCTCGGGATTGCTGATGGGAATCAGACTCGTTTAAAGGCGAGGCACTGTGGCTGTCAGAGAGCAGTGTCTCCAGGCTGCCTTATTCTCAGCTGCCACTTTTGCTTTGTTTTCAGATGGATCGCAGCTCATTTGATTATTTCATCTGGAGATTTTGAAAGAAAATAAATAGAAGAAGACATTTTTACCATCAAAGGAAGTTTTGATTCTTTAAAATGTGTATAAACCAACTATCCTTTAGGTTAAAAAAAACAACAACAACATTTTGATCAGACCATCATTAAAAATGTCTCGTAAGCCTGTCACTGGAACTTCAGGCCTCCATTTTGTGACTGCCAGGTCGCGGTGAGAAGATGGCGCCGAGTGTTAAGAGAACAGCGCTTGATCTTTGTCGATAGAGGGTGTGGTTGTGTTGAGTGTGCCGTTGGTGTTGCCAATGCACAACATCCGGCAAACTTCCAAAAAGTGTCCCGACCAGAAAAAAACAACCCTGATAGTCAGGGACTTTCCAGGTCAGCTAAAACAATAAAACCCAACCCATCTCTGCATTCTCATGCGTGCCAAAAATTTTTGTTTCTCTTTCATCTGTGACATTAAAAGCTGTCAAGTGAGCTTCTAAACCACAAACCAAATTATCCTGTTGTGTAACAGTGAAAACATCAGGTAATAACTGCTTTCCAAATTCAGATCAGCAGATTTTTTTACTGCTTCTTTTGGAGAATCACTTAAATTCATGAGACATATTTTATTTGTTATACCAAAGCAAAACAGTGAGTTTTGGGTATTGGGTGGGTTTTATTGTTTTATCGTTTTACTGTAGTAAATGAAATAAATTAAATTTATCTTATTCTGATGTTTGCCATTTTTCCTCTCCTCCACACGTACTAACCAGAATAATGTCAGAAGTACAACCAGCAAAGGTATTAAATTAGAAAACTTTATTTACGCATATCCTACAGTATAAAGACGACAGTTCAAATATATTAAGACAAACTTCTGATTGATATTTTATTCCTGACCAATAAAGAAATCTTTGACTTCTTTGATAAGAAAAGATTTATTGTGGATTGTTGACTTGTTTGGTTAAACATTTATCAAATATCAGGTCATGAAAAAAAATCCTCTCATGAAGACATGTCTCAAAGGAAAAAAGTGTCATAACTTTTAAAAATATGGGGGGAAAAAGTAATAAGATTCGGACGCTTAAGTTAAATTAGCTTCAGTAGCTTCAGTCGTTGATCACTGTGGTGAACTCCCCTCAGTGAAAAGCTTCTCCCTCAGTTTGTAGTAACTTCCCTTCAGCTCCATCAGCTCCTGGTGATTCCCCTGCTCCTCAACGTTGCCCCCACTAATCACAATAATCTGATCTGCCTTCTCAATCGTCTTCAGCCTGTGAGCGATCACCAGGAGTGTCTGGTTAGGGCAGCTCGCCAGAGCCTGCAGAACCTGCAGAGAGTCAGTTTTTTTTCAGTGAGAGCAGAACTAAAAGATGTCTAAACCGACATAGTTTAATAATGTATTGTTTAATAGATCAAAACATGCAAATAAACTGAAAATAAACAGGCCAACCATATTAGAATATCACATTACTCCAAAACTGTAGTAAAAACCACAGTTCAGTGTACTTTATCTGTTTTATTGTGCAGGGAAATTATTCATTCATTCAATATTTATTTGAAGTGAAGAACACTTTGATCCACATTAATACATTTTCCAAATCCTGTCCATCACCAGCACACACCATTATTCACCCAAGTTCTTTAAAGCTCTTTTAATGATGGAGTTGCACATAAATCTGATAAAGCATAAAAGATAACAAGAGCTGTTTTTAATCAGTTCTAGATTATCCTGAGAGATATTACGTCAGAAATGCGCTCTTAAAGTTTCTGACTATACTTTTGAGACATGCTTATAAATTGATCAAGAAGCACACCTTCACATTTCCCTAATGTATTTCCTGCTTTCTTTGCAACTTAAACCTGTTTTATGTGCAAGATTATGTTAAAAATGTTATACTCAATGGCCCTTGTTACACACAATTTTCAGGTATTGGTTCTGATATTTCTCACTATTTAACCCAAAAGAGCCATGTCCCATTTTGCCTTAAAGGGAAATTATAGGACATAGAAAACTGACCAAATGTTTGCAGTTAATATGGATTACTACGCTTATGTTTAGCACAGCCCCAACATACCTTGTTTTCACTTTCAGTGTCCAGTGAGCTGGTGATTTCATCCAGAATGAGGACCTTTGGCTCTCTGACCAGAGCTCGAGCGATGCCAATCCGCTGCCTCTCACTCTTGGATAACTGACTGCCTCCTTCACCCACATCTGAAAATGTACACCGTAAAATGGATGTCAATAAAATTAGAAAAACATGCATGCACAAATATTCTTTAGTGTTCACAGATTAATCAACATAGAGCGAAGCTCATAGGGATCAGGGGGGGGCGCTTTTTACCTGCATTGTAGCCTTTCTCCATCTGCTCGATGAAGTCATGGGCATTGGCTTTTCGAGCTGCTTCCTTAATCTTTTCCATTGAGCAGTCAGCGAGCCCATAGGCAATGTTGTCTCTGATGGAGCCAGAGAAGAGGACAGGCTCTTGGCTCACCACTGCAACCTGTGAAAAACACTGTAATCATTCCCACTGGACGTATATTTACACCTTTATTCAATTCTGAATCATCATCAACTGAATCTGAACATTTCCTCCATGTTGATTCAGGAGAATTCCCAAAAAATAAACACAGATGGAGGAATAATGTGACAATATTTACAGAATTTTCTATAATTTCACCAACGTTTTGCTTCTGTCTATGATTTCGAAACCATTTAAAGCTTTCAAGAGACATAGGTTCTCAACATATAAAGGACATGTTAAATACCTTCTGGTGGAAGAAGCGGTGGTCGTAGGATTTTAGAGGCTCCCCATCCAGAAGAATTTCTCCACTCTGAGGCTCGTAAAATCGCTCCAGCAGACTCACACAGGTGCTTTTTCCTTCTCCTGATGGACCCACTAGAGCTGTCATCTGACCTGGTTTCAGCTCCAAAGAAATGTCCTGACACAAAGGGCAAACATCGTCACCACACAGCATGAACACAACATGTGACATCTATTTAGTCAACACACATTGAGTTCATTAAATGCTAATCTATCATTTCTGTCCATTTTCGTTCTCATTCTGATTAAATCCTAAAACCAAAGGCTGTTAGCATCTTTTTCACCTTCAGCACAGTTTTACTGGGGTTTGCCGGGTAAGCGAAGCTGAGTTGGTGGTATCTGACGTGTCCGCTCAGCTGATCCGGTTTGAGCTTTCCATCCGCGCTGACCCGAGGTTTTCGGTCCAGGTATTCAAACACTTTCCCAGCAGCCATCACTGAGTTCAGCATGTCCCCGAAGATGTTAGTGAGAGTCTGGAAAGTGACAAACACACATCCTGTTAATGGCTATGGGAGACAAGCCTTTCGTATATAATTTTGTTCCCACATTTCAGTCTTCCGTTACAAGTTTCAGGGTTCTACAGTAATTCTTTTTAGTCGCCTCTCAGGACATGAAATAATTTGATTAAATGTTATGAGTATAACAAAAGGGCTAATGAAGTCTTACCCCTCGGTCAAATATTAATTTGAACCAATCATGTCTTTTATATTTCCTACAAAAGGCACTCTTTTTTAAAGGATATGTGGATAGTCTTTGTTATCTAAGAGCCTAACTATTAAAGAGTTGAAAACAACCAATGCACTGCTGCAACACAAAAGTAATCGGACAGCATTAAGGTCACCCACCCTGATGTTGTCTCCAAGATCTGACTGATAGAGAATAAAGGAAACCAGGTTCCCGGCGGTCATCTGCCCCCTCTGGATGAAAAGTCTGCCGTAGTACAATATGAGGACCTGCATCCCCAAGCCTGTCAACTACATGCACACATAATGATTACAACCTAAACCCCACCTCAATCCGTTAAAAAACAAAGCAAAACAACATTCTCACCCTCTGTGCTAGTAGGTAAACTGCTGTGACAGTGTCCCGACGTATTTTCAGGTTGTGTGTTTCTGTTAAAAATTTGTCATAACGTTTGCCCTCCTGTTTTTCTGAGTTGAAACCCCTCACAACTCGAATCCCAAACACGACCTCATTTGCAGCTTCCATTGAACGAGCCATAGAGTCCTGCATCGCCTGGTACAAACGCTGATGAGGAAGTCAAAGACGAAACATGCAGTTAGAGTAAATCTCAATCTTGAAATCTTGAAAAAACATTATGTCAAAAGTATTAATTTGACAACGTCCTCTTCAGGAGTGACAGTCCTCGACTTAACAGTGGCGATATTAAACATCTGATTCTGGTTACTGAGCACGCATACATGTACATGTACACATGTATATACATTCACATTGATGATCGACTTATAACAGAAGCGATATTGGTCCGTGGCAGATAAGTTTGTATCATTTAAATGAAGCTGATACCTTTGAATTTACATCAATTCTAATATTTTAGCTAATATTTTATTATATATATTCATATATATCTCCTTTGTATTCATATATATATTCAAACATATTTCTGTTTTTATATGTTTTATGATTAAGTATGTCAAAAGTTTATTTAAATACCTCAATATACAGTTTAAAAAAAAACTAGAACATAAAAATCAGGCATGAAATGACATATTGAATGGAAAATGTTGTTTGAAACACAATTCAGAAATTTCATATTATTGAGAAAACCTGTAGTTGAGTATCTTTCCCGTTTGTCCTGGCCTTGTGGTATTCTATAAACTTGCTTAGTTTGTACCCAGCCTCATGTTGTATGACACCTTAATGTTTTTGGTGGAAATTTGTGCAATATGTACAGGATATGTACTTTTAAAAAATTGCATCATAATTGGTTTCTAAACTGCAGATTTGACAGTAATTAGGTCAAACTGGTCATTTGGATTTGACTTTAGTAAACATTTCTGCAGACAGGTTTTTACCTGGTAGTGTGTGTCGTAGATGTTCTGTATGAGCCCAGTGATGGGTGTCTCCATCAGTACAAGGAATGTAAGCTTCCAAGACAGACTCATCATAAGGGTGATCATGCCGATGGTCTTAATGAATGTCCTCAGGAGGATGTTGACATTCAGACACACTGTTCTTCCCATGAGGGTTGTGTCTTTGGAGAGTCTGGATGTGATCTCACCTGCACAGAAATCAAAGCATCATCTTTAATTCCCATTGTGTCCTATTTATTTTTGTTCCATGTTTGAGCTGTTTGACACTCTCACCTGTTTTTGTGCTCTCGAAGAATCCAATTTCCTGTTTGGTTAAAGCCCCGAACAGCTTTACTTGGATTCTGCATGTGTATGAGCTGATGGCACACATTAGCAGACCCCCTCTGCAGCCGGCACTCACTGAACTAAAACAAAACAAAAACAGTTCAAGTGGGTTTAGAATAACTAAATTACATGCAGGGGGGTGAATGCGAAAATATAACATTGCCTCATACCCCCCAACAGAGTACAGTCCCATGAAGAGGAGTGCAGTGAGAAATTCACTATGATTGTAATTTCTACCCAGGATGTCAATAACTCTTCCAGTGTAGAAGGGAATGAACATCTCAACTGAGGAGAGAAGAGACAACTGGATGTCATCACGTGAAAAAAGGGGAATATTTGTAATAAATATATCCTAAATTAATCAGAATCTTGTACTGCGCCTCTCATGAGGGGTCCAAAGTCAAAATAATGACCCTGTTCCATTTCTGTGGCATCTCGATGCTGTCCTGTTTACTTACAGAGAACTGCCAGGGACAGGAACACAAAGCCTCCGAGCAGCAGGGGATAGTCGGGCCTGTACAAGCGGAGGACTCTCATGAACAGAACTCTGGACTTCTGTTTCTGTTCTTTCTCCGCAGCCTCTTCGTCGGGGTCCGGGATGGTGATCTCCCAGAACAGCGCAGCAGCCAGCGACGCTGCGCCACACGCCAGCCAGCAGCGCACATCCGTGGCTCGGCCACATTGGCTCTCCTCTCGGTAAAACGCGGCGGAGCCGGACTCAAAGACCGCCGGGAGCAGGCTGTACGCCGTTAGAAAACGAATCAGCCGAGGTCTGAGGTCCCCCAGTATGAGCAAAGCAACAACAGTAACAGCTGACCAGCGCAGGGCTGCAGACACCCACAAGCGCGCAAGGTGTCCGAACACGCTGTGGATGACCACTAATCCGGACGCGTGAAACAGGGAAAAGTCGACAAAAACCGTCAAAACCAGAGCCAAGGCTTTGCGAATAGTCGTTCCAGCCATTTTTCTGCAGTAGACGTCCTCGTATGACCTGCTGTGTTACGGGTCTATTTTTTTCAACTGCTTTCGGTTTCAATTTCCCACTGAGGGATTTCCCTTAAAACCAAAAACTGAGCATCACCGTTTAAACAGTATGTTTGGGATTGCTGTTACAACTTACCATCTCATAACTCTCCTAGTCACATTTGTAAATCTGATTCTCCCCTTGTTAAAATGGTTGTAAATGGTAAAGCCAGCTTCTATTTTACAAATAAAATTGTACAGCCTAGTGTCAGATGCAGTTGTGTGTATTTTTAACTGAACTCCCACCTGAACCCTGAACTCCCACCTCATGATGATTGTCTGCAGACTTCACACAAAAACTTCTCATTTTAAAAAGGAAATGTGAGACTTTATAAACATAAATCTAGATTTTTTTAAAGGTACATATTTGAATTAATACCATGACTGAGTAATAGGTTCAACTCCTTCAAGAGAAGGCGGGTTGTCTTTTGTCCCCATAACATGTTCAATCTAATAAAACCAGATCAAATGCACTTTATCTCAACTAAGGTGACAAACCTGAGCAGTAATTAAACAGCTTTGGAAATCAGGCAGAAACACAGGGATGTTCATTTTATTGAAATTGATCAACTTTTACTCATTCAATATTTTCAGGACAACAAACATGTCACTGGTCAAAGAAAGTGGGCAGGTCATTTCCTAGAATGACCTTCTCCTCTGTGCTGTGCTCGTCGATGGTCACCATGTAGGCCACGCCCCCACTGGAGCCGTCACGGTTCATAGCCAAAGCCAGAGCTGCGGGACAGGATAGATGAGACATAAAGAAACAGGGTGCAGGAATTTGTTTGTAAGACAGCCCATTTCCCAGAACGGGGAAGAAGAAGAACATGAATTATCTGTTTAGAAGAAAAACTCACTGTTGAGCACAAACTGTTGGCACTCCTCCTTTTTCATTCCTTTTCGATACTCAGCATCGACAAACCCATAAACATAGAAACTGCCGGAGCCCCCGACAGCAAAAGGCTGCCTGGTGAGGAGGCCGTTCAGGGTGGCAAACACCTGGAGGTCAAAGGTCAAAACAGGGATTGTTTTTTCGAATTGAATTCTGTATGGAATTCAGGTGTCTTTACTCAGCAGAATCATCGCTCTGATAAATCAGCTCCAAGTTAAAGGCAAATTTCCTTATCCCTCCTGGGTTCACCCACCTGCCCTCCGCTTCTCCTGTCCCACCCGGCAACGATGAGATGTGCCGACAGCTCCTCTTTGTACTTGTATGAGATGTTCCTCACCAGAGTGGCCGCTGAGCGGACCTGCGGGTCCTCATCGATCTCAATGCTGACAGATGGAAGCATTCGGTCAGAAATCTGATCGCTACCCATAACGTCAGAATGACAGCTGAACTCAGAATGATTTTAGGTTTTCACTGCATTATTTTCTTCATTTGCTCCTCTGGTTCCATATTCGGTGTCTTCGGTGTTTTGGTTCTGGTTTTGTTCTGTGCTTTTGTCCGTTCTCTGCTGTTCGGGTTACCAGCTCCACTGTTTTCACCTGTTTTGATTATCCTCAGTGCACTCATTCCCTAAACACTCTGCCCTCGGTACTTCAGCTCATCATTTACCGGTTTTGTCTATCAGATTTTCTTCAAATTTCTAATTAATTGAATTTAACTGCTGGGTTTGGAGGGTTTACCTCCTGCACACTTATTTTACTCTCAATAAATCAGTTGAATTCTCAGCTCCTGCCCACCAAGTCTGTGGATGAGTCTCCACAAGACATGAGTGGGAATCCTGAAAACATATTAAGTCCAAAGCTGGAAAATTCCCCCTATGGTTTGAATATTAAATATCTACATGTGCCGATGTCTCAAAGCTGCACATCTTAAGGGTTGTTCATAAAACAGAGTCTAAACTAATTTCAACCCTTAACTCTAACACGCGAAAACTGAGCGAAAATATATTCAACATGGCTGCAACCTCTCATCGAGAAAAACTATATAACTTAAAAAATACATAACTTTATATACAGGCCTACAGATGTTTTATTTTCTATTTATTTCCTGTATTCCTTCATTTATATCTGTACATGTCTGTTCCACTTTGGATTAAAAATTGGGGATACCTGTGGTTTAAAAGCATATGCAGACACATCCCAATGTAAATATTCAATAAATCAAGACATACACATTTAGAAATACATAAAAGTCAGCTTGGAGACTGTCAGGTAGAAACTAAGAAGGGAAACAACACCAAACAGTCAGTGTCTCTACCTGTGGACATCCAGCTGGTAGTTGACCATCTCTGCGATGGTCTGAGCGTCGGCTGCAGACCCCGAGAGAGCGCAGTAGATCCTGTCGTGAAGGGGGGACAGTTTGTTCATCACCCTGTTTACCACTGTTTCCCTGAAGGGGGGGGAGGGGGGGGGGGGGGGGGGAGGAGAGAGGGAAGAGTGAGTGTACAGGTGCTGAAACCGACTGTAAACAGAGGCTGTGACCAAATTCTGATTGTTACATTAAACAAATCAAAAATTAAAACTGATGGAGGCCCGCTCAGATGTGCAGCAGCTTACCCTGCAGACACTCTGGAGTCAGAGCCCAGAACCACCCCTCCATCAAACTCTATGGCCAGGATGGTCGTCTGAAGGAGGAAACAACACGGAGACGGCAGCATGCGTCATTTTCAGTTGAATTTGACGCGTTTGTCAAAGTTTTCTTACAGATGTTCAATACTTACTCCTGTTTTCACCTCCTCGGACAACCACTGCGGCTCCATTTCTCCCAACATGGCTCACCGATCCTCGACAACAGGACTCTGTTCAGCCGGACGAGCGACACCGAACCGGGACGATCAGCTGAGCTGGTCCGGTGGAAATAGATCTGATACACCTTAGTCGCGGTCTTAAATTTGAGTTTGACGAGTCTGAATCCTTTAAACTGAGTTTTACCTCCGAGTATCAGACGGACTCCATTTTTTGATTAATCTATCGAAACTGAAAGTTCGATTCTCGCTCTGTAACGAGCTTTGAACCACTCACAGCTCGTGTTTCTCCCCTTATGCATTTAGTGAAACCAAATTACAAAACATATTTTCTAAAGGCATATTTATATACTGTATATGATTTTTTAAATGTGTAAATGAGAACCACCTTATCATATTTTTAAGCTTAAAAAATAATAAAAGACAGAAAATGGAAACACATTTTGGAAACGTTTTAAATTCTTTTTATTCTTTTTACTTTCCCATTTTAGAAAATTAACAAAAAGTAAATTGTTTAACACGAAAGGTTTGAGCATTTTTATATTCATTCATTTATCTGTACCATGATGATGTTTACAGATTCAACTCATTATTTTTCATCAACAAGCCAAAAACTTCCTTTCCTTGTGTCTGACGTGAGTCCCTCACAACCAACAGAAAGCAGACAAATATTTTTTTTTAGTTGTAGGTTATTCTGTGGGAGCTTTGTGTTATTATTCTGTTTGTAAGCTATTCCTGCTGTAATTGTAGAGCTGGCATCCATCATTCGTCATGGAACCGGGGCAGTTTGTCACCAGGTACAACCACGTGCTCCACCCCTGTTTCCGTGATGACCACCAGGTGAGCCACACCCCCGCTGACGTTGTCCCTCCCCATGGCCAGAGCCAGAGCTGTGAACAGAGGGAGGGAGTCAAACAGGAACAAAAAGGAGGAACAGCAAAAGTCAGCTCCTGATTTCAATGTTACGATTCCACATTTTACACTTCATACACTTTTTAAAAGCCTTTTGAACTGTTTAACCACATTTGTCAGGTCCATTTTTATGCTTAATGAATTTTATGCTTACATATTTATTTCTATCTGAAGCTGTTTGATTACTAAAAGCTCAAGGCAACAATTAGAGCTATTTCACTTAAATCTGGTTTAAGCCTGGGAAATATTTACTGAGTATTCTTTCATTTTAAGCACACATCAGAGCCAGTTTTCCAGTAAACAGTTTTCCTGTCTTGTCGTTAATTTTCTGAGGATTAAAGAACAAACCAATAAGCATTCAGATATACAACTAAGTTAATTTAAGAGTACCATTGGTTGCAAACTGTAGACACTCCTCTTTGCTCATGTTGGGTTTGTATTTGGCGTCGACGTAGCCGTAGATGTAGGTGCTGCCTGAGCCGCCGATAGTAACAGACTGACTGACCAGCATCCCGCCCAGAGATACGACGTACACCTGGAGAAGGATGGAGACCATCAGCAGAGCAGGCCAGGTGTATGAGGCTGGGATATGCCCTGTTAACCTGCCTGTGGTCCCTTTTTCTTGTCCCAGCCTGCTGCCATGAAGCCAGCCTGCAGCTCTTCTTTGTTTTGATAACACAGCTCCTTCAGCACTGATGCTGCAGCGATAACCAGAGGAGGACTCTCCATCTGGACACTGCAGGGCACCCGGAAAGGACAGGGAGAGGCAAACATTTTTCATTTACTTTGTAAAGACCCTTATAGATCGATATAACATGTATTTACTGAATATCTGTGAGAAGGCTCTAGCTAAAGGAGAAAATCCAATCCAGAAGTTTGGGTGAAACTAACTAAAACTGGGAGAATTTAAAAAAATAGTACATTAGAGGGAGGTGTTAAATATGAAACAATGACATCTGACCACGTTTCTGCATGTCTGATGAGCATACCTGTGGAAAGAAAGGTGGAACTTTGCAGTCTTGATGACGGCCTGAGCGTCTGCCAGCGAACCGGCCATGCAGCAGAAGATCCGGTCGTGGACCTGAATCACCTTGTTGATGGTCTTAGAAGATACATATTCTCTGAACAAAGCCAGGATAAATAAAGTACTCATTTAGAGACTTAACTTTCTGGACAACACTTCCATCCTTCATCCATACCAAGTTATTTCAAAGAGGGCCCCGAGAGGACTGGAGCCTCTCAAGCTGTGGTGGGGTGAGAGGATTGCACCCCGGACAGTTTGCCGGACCACCACAGACCATCACAGCCCCTTACTGTACATCTGTTGTCTGTTTTGAGGTGTAAGCACAAGTAGGACTACTGCTACAGAAGTCACAATGGCAGAAACTAAGTATAAATATATGTAGCTTTATTAAACTACAAGGCATTAAAATGCTATTTTCACTACTTCAGATCAGAGTAGAAAAAGCTAAACATAGAATATAACTATGTTATATACTCTTCAAAGGTACAGGCTTTATACTTTTACACAGGTTTAAGTATAGAAAATAAAAGTGATTGAATAATATTCATGTACATTTTTGCAAACTGCTGAAAGTTTGAAGAACAATTGAAAAAATGACCTTCATACAGTAGATTTCACTACAAAAAGTAGCGATGTCCAGAGCAGTTTTTGGATTTCCTCAAAGATTCCTAAGAGTTCATCATCTTACTGTAAATTCTGTCTTGATTACACTGTTTATGTGTAACAGTGAAAACAGGTTCACTCAAAACATCCTCACCCTCCAATTGAAGCTCTGGAATCTGAACAAATAACGACCCCCCCATCAAAGACAGCAGCCAGGATGGTGGTCTAAGAGGGGAGAGAGGGGCTTTTGTTATGTTTTGATCCTGGGTCACAGAGCATCAGACATTTTTACACATGGTTTCCTGTTCACTCGTTCTTCCGAACGCAAGGAATTCTGGGAATGTTAGTTTTTTTTAATTCATGCAGGGAAATAAGTGAAAATGAACGAGCGAACAGATCTTTCTTTCTAGAAATATAAAAAATAAATCATTAAGAGCATTCTTGGTAAGTGTTCACTGATAATGACCAACGTGGATAATGCATCCCTCCGTCAAAAATCACATCACCTGTTCACATTTTATTCGTTGACGAACTTTTTACGACTTGAAAACGCACTGAAGCAGTTCGTAATAGACAATCAGTAATAGTAAAGGAACCCATTCGTATTCACTCACCCCTGTGCTGACTGCTTTGGCTCGTGAGTCCGTGTAGTGTTTCTCCATTTTCTTTCCAAAATCGAAAGCGGTGAGGCAGAGCCGACGCTCAGAACAGCGACCTCAGGCGCACCGAGACGCGCAGAGACGCAGCCGTTTGCAGTATGGCGCTATCAAATGTCCTCGAAACTCCTGGAGCCGGGTTTAATTTTGACAACGTTGCGAGGTATGGGCTTCTTTAATGTCCTCTAATCAGAATTGTGAAAGACAGCGATTATTTAAAATGTAGGCTAAGATGAGGTTTCATTTAGATTCAAATCGAAAGTAACTTTTCCCTGCCTGTTTGGCAGTTCAGTGAGGATAAATATTACGGCGAAAGTGCGTTAACAATGATACGTGGTTTTGAATTGTAACCCATTCCCACCTACTGCCCCCCATCTGCCCCCTCCTTCCCAGGAACGCCGCGTTGGAGGGTCTCTTTGACGCAGGACAGGCACCCAAACCTCTGAAGACTGGCACAACAATAGCTGGAGTCGTGTTCAAGGCGAGTACAGCAGTGGCTCAAACTACAAAAATAACAAATAAAGCAATCTTCCCAACCAAGTTTACAGTAAATTATTCCAAAATTAGCATTTGTTTACACACAGAAATAAGAATTTCCTTGCATCACAGTTGGTGTTGTGCAGGTTGCTGCTTTGTTGACAGCACACATTCTTTCTTCCTCCTCTTACATGGGGCATCTGTCCAGAGTGGATCCCTTAATCGCTGATGCTTTGGCATAAGCCAGTAATGTAGAACACCCACTTTATAGTTAAATAACTTAAATAAGAACAAATCCTTACGTCTTATCCTCTGGAAGGCCATTCACCAACAAAACATCCTCTCCTATACTTAAACAATATTTTAATGAAAGTTTAGAGTGTGCATTAATGACTTCAAAGGGTTTCTCTATGAGCATGAAGAATTATTTTTATGGAGCAGTTTTTTTATTTATTTTTTAGATAAAAGCTTGTCAATCAAACAAACATAACTGAGCATTAAATCATGCTCCGGTCTGACTGTGTTGCTGCAGGATGGGGTGGTGCTGGGAGCCGACACAAGAGCCACCTCCAGTGAAGTGGTGGCCGACAAGATGTGCGCCAAGATCCATTATATTTCCCCAAATATATAGTAAGTTTCATTCATTCAGTGTTAAAGGGAAACCACATCAATGGAGATACCTTCTAGCTATTTATCCGTCTTGTTTTGATTTGCTTTCGGTTGTGTTTAACAGATTTTTTTGGACTATTTTTCTCCAACTATTAAGTCTAAAAAACCCAAAGGTCCTCTGTAATAGGGATGACAGTTTTTTTATTTGCTTCGTCATCATCCTTCAAAATTCTTATTCACGCTTAGTTCTCTGACAAATTCCCTCCTTGTTGATGCTTTCTCTGGTTGTCTTAGTTGCTGTGGAGCAGGAACGGCAGCAGACACAGAGAAAACCACAGACCTGCTGTCCTCCAACCTCACCGTCTTCTCGCTGAACAGCGGCAGAAACCCTCGTGTCATCATGGCTGTCAACATACTCCAAGACATGCTGTACAGGTTGGCACCAAGCACACACACACACACACGCACACACACGCATGAACATCCAGATGTGCATCAAGTAACTGATCATAAGTAAGTGCATCCAAAGTATTATTCAGGCCCACATTTGGGTTTCGGGCCTCAGGTATCATGGCAAGATTGGAGCCAGTCTCATACTGGGAGGAGTGGACTGCACTGGGAACCACCTGTACAGTGTGGGGCCGTATGGGAGCGTGGATCATGTGCCATACCTCGCATTGGGTAAGTGGCATTATAGAGTTTAATAACAACAGTAACGTGCTGTTTTCTCTTCGATTCTTTCTTTGCAGAGCTGATATAAAGTTCTTCTGTTCTATTGAACACATTAAAACATGCTTATTTATGAGAGAATACTTTTGCTGTCACTATGAAAACATTATATATTTTAATGATCTACAGATATGCATCTGATTTGAGATGTTTTCTCCTTTTGTTCATGCAGGATCAGGTGACCTGGCTGCTCTTGGGATTTTGGAGGATGGATTCAAAACCGACCTTGAGGTGCACATTTTTTATCATTTAAACGTACTTTTAAAAACACCTCTGTGCTATTTTTTATGCTATGTCAGTATGTTTGCCGATGTTCCCGTCTTATTTGCCTTTTCTGTCCCAGCTGGAGAAGGCGAAGGAGCTGGTCCGAGCCTCCATCCATGCTGGCATCATGAGTGACCTCGGCTCCGGCAACAACATCGACATCTGTGTCATCACCAGACAGGGAGTGGACTACATCAGACCCTACCAGGAGTCACAGTACAAAGACTGCAGGTATGTGTGCTGGAAGGAGGCCGAACGGGTCACTCTACTGGTTATTAAAGCAGATGTTGGTGGTAGATCTTCAGGTTTAGCCATTTCTGTTATTCAGCTTAACTCCCAAGTGAAACATGTTTTTCTTTCAGATTTTTCTCACTTTTATTCACATTATTTGGGTTTAAATGAAACTTTTTTGTGTGCGTTTTTGTGTGTGAACATTTCTATGTCTGAAAAAAATGAAGCTTTACATCATATTGTTGGTCTTCAGTTTAGCATGTTGGAAGGAGCACTGATAACAAAAAGTGGTCTAAAGATATAGGTGTGCCACTTTTATTTGGATGGCCTGTTTCTGCTATACAGACATTGTATATTGTTTTCTTTATATACTTTCATGACCTGAATTGCTTTTGACGGAGCTGCTTATTGTTAGTTTTGTACTCTTAACTTTTACCGTACCACCTGCACTTTTTAATGCTTTTTTTAAAGTCTCATACTGTTTGGCAATGGCTAACTCAAACAGGTAACCTCTGCATTATGTTAGACTTATGTTGAAATGATGCCTTTCAGCAAAATAAAACGAGACTATTCAGATATATATGTTTTTTTCAATCTATTGAACAATCTCAAACAACCTTCCATTGGCTCCTATCATGCCATTTGTTTCTTAGAAAAAATACAGTAGTTAAATTATCTATGAATCTGTCTGTCTTTTAGGAAAATGAAATACAAGTATCGTCCAGGAACAACACCAGTTCTCACAGAGAAAGTAGTCCCCTTAAAGCTGGAGGTCGTACAGGAGACCGTGCAGCAGATGGATACAGTCTGAGCGGCCAGGCACAATTACACATAAACAACACAACAGAACACTTAACAGTTAGACAACATTTTTCCATCCCCACTTATATTATGGAGTTAAGACAGACCAATCAAACATCACTAAATCTTTTTTAACATTATGGTTTAACTCTCAATATGACATTTAATAGTTCAGACACTGTTATACTGTTATGTTTATAATGTGTCATGATCATCAACACTGAATAAAATCCTTTTTTACAGACCTAATGGCTTCTGATTCATTTTTACATGTGTTCAGTTTTATGTTTTTTTTTCTAATTAACACCATGGCTCTGAAAAAAAATATAAAGATCACCCACTGACATGTCCTTTATGACTTGTTTGTATACAATTCTTAATTATTAAACGAAGACCATTAAGCTTTAACGTATCTGAAACCTGAATTTAGCATACTGGCTTAGAGACTGATGATGAAAGAACGCAACGTTTTTCTATTGGTTCTACTTTGGTAGTATTTCTTAAATCAGCTTTATTTTTAACTGAATCAACCTCTTTGATTAAAACATAGTATTAGGCATTAATTGTTAATGGTGCAGAGACAGTTCCGTTTCACTGACAAATTTCACGATATTTTAATAAAAAACAAAGAACAATAAAGTCGTGGATAAATCCCTTTCACTTTCGGATTCTTTGTCACGTATGAGGAAATTATCCTCCGCGCTAAACAACTATCTGCGTTGCATTGGAAATATTTACAACCACAAAGTACTACGAATAGCCAGAAAACGGTTTTCTGTTAGTTAAAAATCATGGCTCTTGTCGATGTAAGTGGTTTTAAGTCCTATTTTGATCTAAACGGGCAGAAATCCAGACAGACGCACCTCGTAGACAGAGCGAACCACTACAGTTTTGGGACCAAAATTCAGGAATTCGCCGTTCCTGTGGGCGTAGAAGTGAGTATCATTTCATTACATTTAAGCAGAAAGCGACACAATATCCACTGTAAACCTGCCACAGCTCGACGCGCCGGACTCAGTGTGGTGTTAGGTTTCATGATTTTTGCGTTTGCGCTTCTTTGAAAACATCGAATAGTTCAATAAAAGCTTAATCTAAACTAGTTTCACGTTTCTTTTGCTCAAACGGTGATACGGTTATTTCTGCTGTCACTAAAGCCCTCAGGGTTCATCAGCTCCTGCAACCGGGAGGGGGGGGTGAGCATCGACCTGAACCACGGCACCACCACGCTGGCCTTCAAGTTCAGACACGGAGTAATCGTGGCCGTGGACTCCAGGGCCTCCGCTGGCCGCTATTTAGGTGACCAGGGGGGTCTGGGGGCACAACGGGAGTCTAGCTCCTCCACATTTTAAGAATGAAAAGATTATATGTTGTAAAGGCATGTTAAATAGGCTTCTTTAAAGGTTGACAGCCTGCAAAACAACAGCCAATAAGCATTTCATAAATGTACCCCCTACTTTCACTTCAGGGGTTTATAACATGTTTTTAGTGAAGCTTTGACACATAGATGAATTATTAAATTATTTCTAAGTGTAGCCCCACTTAAAGGGGTTACTCGTCCTCGTAATGTTTAATTTGTCCACTTCTGGTCATAAAATGTCTTCTTTGAAATGTGCCTCCTTTCTGCAGCTTCCAATGACGTGAACAAGGTGATAGAGATCAACCCGTACCTGCTGGGCACCATGTCGGGCAGCGCTGCCGACTGCCTGTACTGGGAGAGACTCCTCGCCAAAGAATGCAGGTCTGCATTAGAGTACTTTAATTATAATATTCATACCACACACTTTGTGACCCAGTCAGGTCCTCATTAAACTCTGCCACATTCTTAAATGCATCTTTCTCTACAAAATACATCAAATTAGCTGATGGTTATGATGAAAATGGGACCTCTATTAGAAAAATTACAAACATCCCCTGATATAGAAATGTTAAAGCTTTTTAACCTCCTGAGAGCTGAGCTTTCATCTGGTGTGTATTTTTTGTCTTTTCCAGACATCTGGGATTAGTAGGTCCTAATAAGTTTAATGACTAGACTTTGTCATGGTACAAGTCGTTTTTCTTCATATAGGCTCAGTGGGTTTATCATTATATTTAACATGTTTGTTTATTTATTTGATTAAATGTTTTTGCTACTTGGTTCTGATGTTACAAATGACTTATTTACAACATTTGTATTACACAATAAGAAAATGGTTGGTTGAAAATTTATAAAACCATTTTAGTTTAGATTTCAAACAGTAGAGTCTGATATCGTCTGCTATGAGGCCAAGAGGTCACAGTCGAAAGAAAAAAGAAGTATCATATTAAAGAGAGGCAAAAATGCAATGTCCTCATATGAGGACACAGGGTCTCTGGAAGTAAACAGCTGGTCAAAAAGCCCAACAGTGATGCTGCTAATCTGCAAGTGTAAGTGGTTTGATGGTGTGTTACACTCTGGATAATTATTCAGTGTTTGATTTATTTTTCTAAGACTTTAAATTAAGGCTAATCTGAACTCCTCGGATTTCCTCAGGCTGTACAAACTGAGGAACAGCCAAAGGATTTCTGTGGCAGCCGCCTCCAAGTTGCTGTGCAACATGATGCTGGGCTACAGAGGCATGGGCCTCTCAGTGGGCAGCATGGTCTGTGGATGGGACAAACAGGTATGCTGTGATGTGTGTGCAGTTTACACACACCTCAGTGTGTGGGTGTACTGGGAGGTAATCTGCATACTGCTCCTATTTCCATCGCATCTGAAAAAGTAAGAAGACGGATGAATATTTTTCAGTTCTCTTGATGTTTAAATGACTGTGTGACCTGCAGGGTCCTGGTTTGTACTATGTGGATGAAAATGGGACCCGTCTCTCTGGCCGTATGTTCTCCACCGGCTGTGGGAACAGCTATGCCTACGGCGTGGTGGACAGCGGTTACAGAGAGGACATGACGGTAGAGGAGGCGTACGAACTCGGCCTCCGGGGCATTGCTCACGCCACACACAGAGACGCCTATTCTGGTGGAGTGGTCAACAGTGAGTGTCCCTCTGGGCTGGAATCAACTTGACTCACTCATAATTTGACATATTGTTTATGAGCTCATTGTCAGTAATTCAAGTATATGTATATATATTTGATTAGAGGCATTAGAATACTTTTTGACTTTATAAATATATATATATAAATAGTATACAGTATATAAAATGTCATATAAAGACCAGTAAGCAGAAAAAAGAAAGTGATTTGATTATAATAAATTATAGTCATCTTTTATCTTATTTATGCTAAAAGAGCTGCAGCACTTGATCCCTACATTTGTATTTATGTATTTATGCAGATCTGTATTCTCCGTGTTTCTGTAGTGTACCACATGAAGGAAGATGGATGGACAAAGGTGTGCAAAAAGGACGTGTCAGAGTTGATCCACACTTACAGGAAGGGAATGTTTTGAGTTTTCCACCTTGGAGCCATGATCAGTCTCAATGTTGATGTGTGATTGAAGATCTAAATGGGGATTGTTTATTGCTGTAATAGTAGCCATAAGTATCTTAGTTCAAACAATCCTTTCTGTGAGTTTGCATCCATTTTCTGCCAGTGGCCGAAAATACTTAGAGATCTTTAACATCACAACATCAGGAAATAAATATTTTTGTTGAACTGACCTCCCTGTCCTGTGATTATTAAGTGGTTCATTGTGTTAAAATATGTCAGAAAATATGTGACTTAATGTAAATAAAGACCCAATCCCAGCTGTAACAGGGTCAGAGGTGGGTTACTGAACAGGTCGCCTGACTGATTCAGCCCTGATGTCAGTTTAAAGCCACCAATCAACCCAATATACATGTGTGGCAGTTTCAGCCACCGTGGGTCAGATTGTCCAGAGAGTGATTAGCCAACTGATTCCAGGTGTGCTAATCACCTCACCTGGCACTGCTCCCCTGAGCCTTCCCCACACCTCCCCACCTGCAGCCGAGCAGGAAGAGTGTCCCCCTCTCTAGGCTTTCATCACACAGTTAGCAAATACTTTCATTTGAGAGTTTTATCAAAGAAGACTTGAGGTCATGTGGAGCATTTAGCATTTTAAGCTATTTGCATGTTTTAAAGTTGGGTTGCTGTTGAGTACAAAATGTTCTATAAAAACATGCCCATATCAGGACATAACTGTTGTAAGCATGCAAAAGAAACATCATCTACCATCTACTTCCGTTTCACATTAATGAATGTCTGTGAGGTACTTTACATCAAATATAATGAATAGAGGTAACATGAGAGCAGTTTGTAGCTGGTGATCAGTAGTTTCTCAGCATTGGGAGCTCATCACCTGTTGCTAGGCAGATGTCAGCAATTTAGGTTTTGTTTTTTCGCCTCCAGAGGAGCAAAAGCACAACACTGAAACTGAATCTCTTACATTCGTTTACACTCTTATAGATCAGAACAAACCCAGTGTAATGGTAGTGTTAAACATGTTAACAGCAACTCTTAGGATCTTAGTTCACCGTTTTTGTGTGTAACACAAGCAAGTTAAACACAACATTGATGTTATTTTTCCAATACAGATCTCACAGAGATGAATAAGATCTGCAACCATGTACAATAAGTCACTATTACTGGATGGTGGGAAGGAACCAGAATACCTGGAGAGAGCAGGCAAACTCCAGCTAGGATTCAAACCGGGAGCCCTTTTACTGTGAGGCACTACACAACCATTCAGCTCAACTTCTTTCAAACTAAATCCAGTTTTTCTTGACCTTTTTTTAAACAAAATTCAGGTGTGGCCATATTATTACCTGTAGTTCCTCATGCAGAACACAGTTTAAGGCAGCTTTTTGGTAAAACAAAGTTTTCACAAATCAATGTGTTTTGAAGAACTGGGATCTTCTGAAGACCAGTTTAGATTTATCAATTACTTTGATAGTTTTCTAAAATGTATTTAGTCTTTCACTCAACAAGACAGATTTACAAATCGGATATTTTCCATAAGAAGAGCTTTATGTCTTCAAAGCAGATCAAATCTGAATGGAACGCATTCACAGCATTCAAAGTTACCTTTCCATATGAAATCCAAACAAGATTCTTGAATACATTTACATTCGTTTTTGAAGTTCTCATTGAGTCAAATCCAGAGATAAAATCCATGTTGGTTCTAGGCTTGTCCCAATCCAACATTTGGATCGGATTGGCCGTTGATTTTAGCAAAAAACTGGATCGGCATGCGAAAATGCCGATCCAGTTTTTTTTTAAGTCTGATCCCACGTGAGCATTAGCATCTCCTAACCCACAGGCCTGTGTCCTAACCATTAAGTTGTTATAAGAGTAAATCCCTGTTCGGGACTGGGTCATGTGATTAAGAGGAAGAAGGTTTTGACTCATTTAAAAAAAAAAAAAATTGATATAGCACTATTTCAGGAAACTAGGTTATCTGTTACAGAACATTTGAAACTTAAAAGGGACTGGGTAGGTAGTGTATATTTTTCCTCCCATTCACAAAA